AGGTTGAAGTGGGGTAACGCTTAGGATCGAGCCCATGAAGAAGAGAGAAGTCGATGCGAAAGGGGTAAGTCTGTGCAAAAAGGGTCGATGGTGGGTGAGCGGTCAAGCGGTGGCGCTATCCACCGAATCACGTTGTGCAAACTACTGTGCACTCGTAAGGCTTCTCCCCGTGTGTGAGTCTGGGTTTGTAGGGAACTGCTCACCCTGCGGACCCTGCAGTGGAAGTCGGGGACGAGTGTATATGTACCGCCTGAGAGTGAGCGAAGCCGCCAGCGAGAGAGAGCGCCACCCGGCGGTTGAGCGCCCCTCCATTCGGTACTGGCGGTCGCTGAAACTGGGGACAGGCTGCCGGGTGGACCACGCCTCCCCTGCGAGTGGAGAAGGCCTTCCCGGAGTGTGGGCGCGTCTTCGGGTGCACGGAACAGCCGTGACAGGTGCAGACAGTGCAGACGCGTCGCTACGCCCTGCGGCCCTGCTGCGTCGCTACCCCTTGCGAGAGAGCCTCTCGCTCGTGGACCCGGCGCAGCGTCCACGGTCCAGCAGACCGGTGGAGGCGGCCAAAATTCTGGACGTGTTTTGGGCTCCCTAGTCGCTAAACGGGACTCGAACCGAACGTGTGACCCCACCAATCGATTGCTCTAGGAACGACGAGTCCATCGATGGGGTCACACGTTCGGTTCGAGTCCCAGCGAGTCAGGAGCTCAAAACGCGTCTAGAATTTTGGCCGGCCGCCAGTTCGTGATGGCGGACCACGACCAGTGTTCCGAACCAAGTCGTGGGCCTCGTCGCCATGCCGGGCAACAGTTTCGTCCTGGACAAGATGACCGTCTCCTGCAACGAGAAAACGCCGCAATCCAGCGATAAACACCGATACGCGTGATGGACAGGCCACAGGGGAGGCGGGCCTAGGCGGGCCGATGCTCTGTCTCTCTCCGACACGTGGAGCGCGCCTTGCGGGTGCGAGAGAGACAGAGCGGGATCACCCCGCGGTCCGCGCGTGCATCGCAGCGGGAAGCGCTGCTGCTGCCTTCTCCATAAATCTGGCCAAAGATTTGTCGGGCTGCTCGCTCTGTCTCTCTCGCACTCACGGGGGGCGCCCTGTGGTTGTGCGAGAGAGACAGAGCGACGACTTGCTGGCGTGCTTCGTGCCACACTTCGTGCCCATCGGACAATGAAGATGTCGAAGCCAGCGCCTGTCGACCGTCAGGCTATGGCAGTGTGGCAAAACCAGTTAAATTGGAGTCACGCGCAAGGTGCAGGCCAGGCTAGCGCGAGGGAGGGACATATTTTGCAGGAGACTGCTTGCGAGCCGTAGTCACTCATATTTTTTGAACATGCTGTGCTGTTGGTTGGTGCAGAAGACATGCAGTTGGTCATAGCAGAGGACCTCACTTTACAAAAGTTGATGCAAAAACTGGGGTGCCTGGAAGCGAAGCCTCAACCCCGCCTATCGTGCCGAGACACTGTGAAGGACGCCTCCCTTCGAGAGGTCGATTAGCGTTGCCCAATCGCGTGCGCGTGGTGGCCGATCTTCGAGATCTCGAATACGCGGCGAGCATTCATTGACTCGCGGGCCGCGATGGACGGACGGACCCGTGTGCCCGCACTATTACGTCGTTAGAAGAAGCCTGCATCTTTGCCGTCCCGAGTAACCCTTCCCCCTCCCCTCCTTTCCTTTGGGCCGTGAGCCCGCGGGTAGCGAGGCGAGCATTTTTTTTCGTTGCGTGTTGTAAGCGCGGTGGGCGCGCGGGCGTGGCGGGGCCCGGTGGGGTCGCCCTTTGATCGAACTAGGGCAGGATGCGATATTTTCACAGTGGTGGTAGCAATTAGTGACCGACACATCCCAAACAGGCAAAGTGACGTGTGACCCCACCATTGGATTCCCCGTTCGGAGAGCAATCCATTGGTGGGGTCTCACGTTCGGTTCGAGTCCCGTTTAGCGACTCTGGAGCTCAAAACGCGTCTCGGATTCTTGCCGCCTCCGCCGGTCTTCTGGCCCACTGGTTCTTTCGATTCGTTCGGAACTCTGGAACTGGAGTAGCCAGTGTCGGTGCGAGGAGGCTGGCCGTGCACCGCCTTGCCATTTTTGGTGCTGGCATTCGGGGCTCATCTCGATGGCTTATCTTAATGGATGTCATGCACGAGGCACAACGAGGCACAGCCGGGCACGGCCGGGCACCCAAGAGACAATCAAAGGTCAAAGCCACAGCGTCGTTACTAGAGGCGCCCCGTCAACCCGTCAAGGGGAGGCCGACGGTCTTTTGGGGCTCGAGGGCCGCCTCTCGGGTCGCCGGCAGGCTCGCTCTGTCTCTCTCACACCCAGGGAAGCCCTGTCAGGGAGAGAGAGAGGGAACGACGGAAGGCGACGCGTCGCAACGGAAATGGTCACAAGGAAACAGACAGAGTGGCCGCCTCGAACTAACCACAGCCGGGCATGGTCATCCTGGAGGCCTCCCAGCGCCAGTACGGGTCAGAATGCCGTTTGCGGGCGTTGCCAAAATTGACAAACCGATTTTCAGCACATTGTGGACCGTTTTGATCACTTTGCGAACTGTGCCCCAACAAGGCAGATTCGCCTCCGTACGAGGCAGCGAGGTCTAAGCCATTGCCCGTGAGGGGCATCCGCCTCGGATCGAGTCGCATTAGCGATGCTGTCGGCTCCAAAACGCGTCTTTCAGAGCATTTGGCCGCCTCCAACTTCGCGTCTTCTTCGCACTGAGGCGCCCATGGCACTGCGTAGACGGCATGCCATAGTGGCAGCCTGTGCTCCGTTTGAGGGAGGGCACTTGCCGCCTCGGATCGCAGTGGAAATGCCTTAGAAGTCGCCCGTCTGTCCACATTACCTGATGACTGGCGTGTCCCTTGCGGTTAGCAGCAGTGCTCGGCTTATGGGCTCACCGGACCCCCGACTCTCTCAGGCTCCGTACCCTCGCACCTGCACGCGACCCCTGAGTCAAAACGCGACTCCATTTGGTCGCGGCCCAGTGGGACGCGGAGGGCAGCCTTCGGCCGTGCACTTTTAGAATCCGCGGCAAGTGACACAGGCTCACGGCATTGGAGCATCTAGTTTGCGGCGAGTTCGGTCCCACATCCCCCGACTAGTGGGCCACCGAGACCGGCTGGAGGCCGCCAAATTAGCCCCCGTTCTTCAGCTCCGAGTCCCCGCTATGCGGACTTCCCCCGACTTCCCCACCACTTCGCCTTGAGTTCCCCGGTTCCCCCGAGTACCCCTGGTTACCACCGGAGCTCAACGCGCCGGCTTGCCTGGCCCTCAGTTTGTCAGGGGTGCGCGGAGGCAGACCACAGGCAGGTGACTTTCTCGAAGAACACACCGACGGTCCCAGTGCAGCAGGCGTGCCACCCGCATTAGGGCATGCTGTCATTTGTCGCCGCGGTGTTGGCACCACCCATTACACGCCGGCCGACTGACCACGTGGGTTGGTCAACCTGATGAGCCAAGAGGCATGCGACAGGGCGAAAGATTAGCCGGTAGTTCTTAGGAATCTGTGAATCCTCCGTGACCCATTCCGTCTGTCGCGGCTCTAAACACTCATCGCGACTCCCACCAGGTGTGGCCGCACTGTGAGTTTGAATCTGGCCCGTTAGGGAAGGCGGACCATCTGGAAGGGCAAGGTCCCGAAGATGACGTCGTCGGGGTCAAGGTCGCCGCCGTCCTCGTCAAGGCCGTTCTCACACGCCTCGCGTCTTTTTGTCCCGCTTTTTGCCCCGTGCAGCTCTACCGGGATGAAAGGGTGCTTGATGAGGTCGTGTCGGCCGCATCATTGAAAGTGGTGCGACATTTGGCGCGTCGTGAGAGAGAGAGGGGGGGGGAGCTGGACCGTCATCGCCGTGGACGCGCTCGCCGCTTGGACACATTTTGCCCGCCAAGCGACGCGATGGTACGCGAAGCTAGTAACCTTTCGCCGCGGAGCCCCGCAGGGAATTCCCTACGTGGCCGCGAGGCACCCGCCCCGCCCCGTACCGCGCGCAGGCGGCCAAAACTCTAGACGCGCTTCGAGCTCCCGAGTAGCTAAAAAGGACTCGAACCGAGCGTGTGACCCCCCACCAATGGATTTCTCGTTCGGAGAGCAATCAATTGGTGGGGGTCACACCACACGTTCGATTCGAGTCCAGGATTTGGCCGCCTCCACCGGTCCTCTGGTCCACTGTGCGCCTGCGCCATATGGCGTATATACGCAGACTCGCGAACGCCCTCAGCGGCTGAACACATTATCCAGAGGAAGGAACCCTTCGTGATCCTCGATGTTCGGTTTTATTTCTGTCCAAATCGATTGCGTCGATTTTGTTAGCCCAGCTCCACCACCTACAAAAATGGTTCGGCCAGTTTTGTGAGAAATGCCGGCTACCTGTCGAAAGCAGTTGGAACCGGGCTGCTGTGGGAACGCGACCTGCAAACGTATGTGGCGGGGCCCGTTGCCAAAAACGGGGAACTCGGCAGGGCGTGGATTACTGCACAGTCCTCTCTGGTTCACAGCCCGTAGAGTGTGCACGAATACTTTTAAAAAAAGTAAATTTACAGGAAGAAATCTAGGAAATTCAGATATTTACAGAAGACCAGTGGAGGCGGCCAAAACTCCAGACGCGTTTTGAGTTCCAGAGTCGGTAATTGTGACTCGAACCGAACGTTTGACCCCACCAATGGATTGTTCTCCAAACGAGGAATCCGTTGGTGGGGTCGCACGCTCGATTCGAGTCCTGTTCAGCAACTCTCGAGCTCAAAACGCGTCTAGAGTTTTGACCGCCTCCACCGGTCTTCTGGTCCACTGTGGGGGGTCAGCCAATGGGAGAGGACCCTTGTTCGCGCGCGAAATTCAAACCGCGGCGCGCTTGGTGCCTTGTCGGGGTGGGGGTCCAGCGTGGGGCGCCGGGCAGTGCGTGCGTCCCCTCCTCGTGGCGCCTGGCCCAGGCTGGCCCATGCTGCTGGCCCGGCTATAAAGGCAGCCACAACAATACTCGGCAAACACTTTGCTGCCGCCCGTAGCACCGCCAGTGTGTCTGTGTGTGCATGTGCGCGCGTGTGTGTGTGTGTGTGTGCGTGCGTCTGAGTGTGTGCGAGTGTAGGTGTCCTGCTCCCCTGGATTATACAGTGCTGATGACAGTCGCTGATTTTGTGTTCGGCCATTGGGATTTGCACCGCAGTTCGTCTTAACGCGCAAGTAAGTGCAAGTAGAGTCCCAAGTGCAAGTAGAGTCCCAAGTAGAATTCCAAGTGGAAGTGGAGTTCCAAGTGCAAGCAGTCTGTCGAGCGACACCACCGCCACCTCTATTCTTAAACTTCTAACGTAAATTTTATTTTGTGCGAAAGTGCACCTTTGGGGGACCAGTGTTGACCAGAATTTCGTGAACTTTGTCGCTCGAGCTCACGTGATTTTGGGGTGTTTTTCATTAGCGAGTTACGAACACTATTGAGTGTTTTTGTGTTTTTCGGTTTTGAACATGAAGACGAGGGTTTCCTCCCTCGAGTTGAAGCCTCCCAGCCGAGGTCCCCCCTGGCCTGGTCCGTCATCGGCCGGCCAAGAACTGCATTTGCATCCTGGAAGCTGAAAATAATGAGCTGAACGCGCCCCTAGCAATTACCCGCCCAATCCCTGCTAGACAGAAAAAAAACATCAACGCGTTGAATTTGGAAAGGGAAGTCCGTGGCACATGGCCTCGGGAACAATGTAGTGTCGGCATTATGATGATTAGCCCAGTGGCTGCCGGTGGCGATGCTGGGGCCATGGGCATGGGCCATGAGACTTTCGGAGGCTCTCGGAAGAAGACTGCATACAATACACTGTGCGGCCGGCGCGTCGGTCAGAGAGGAGCTCCCCGCAGGATTACATAATTGATTTTCCACGATCACCTCCAGGTAAAAAACAAACAAAAAAACACTGACAGAAATTATAGGAAGTTCTTGTCGTGCGTTGGGTTTAAAAACGAAGTGACTCGTGAGAGATTACGATGAGTGAAACGACTCTTCGTGAAGGCCTTATACCGTTTTCAAAATGTTAAAATTTGGTTCAATTTTAAAAACAAAAGTGTTTTTGTCGCGAGTAAGGGTTCTGAAATATTATTCAAATACTAAAACGCGTTGTGTGGTCTTTTTATTCTTTCTGGTCCTTCTCCATTACCAGTCGATTCGTAGTAAAATTGAGAACTTCCCCATACTCTCTAAAAAGCAGGTTTGCCTTTTTTTTTTGTTAGACATACGATTTGTTGGAGTGTGCTTTTGTTTTGTTAAATGAGGCAGATGGTGCCCTCTGCTCGACCCTCGGCCCTAGGCGCCCTAGACCACGTCCTACACGGCCTGGGCCAGGCCTGCGCCGGGCTGCGCGAGCCTCACTGTTGCGCCAAAACAAACAATGGGCCACCAATAATTGGACCAAATTGGACCAATCGCAGCACGCGACTTGCAGCCAGGATGGGGAACTGTCGACACAGGGATTAAGGAACAGGGTCATACGTTCCTAGCTCGTTTCTTCCCCTCGACCAAACACAGTGGGCCAGAAAACAGGTGAAGCGGCGGCCAAAACTGCAGACGCGTTTTGAGCTCCAGAGTCGCTAAACTGGACTCGAACCGAGTGACCCCACCAATGGATTCCTCGGTCGGAGAGCAATCCATTAGTGGGGTCACACGTCCTGTTCGAAACCAATTTAGCGACTCTGGAGCTCAAAACGTTGTCTGCAGTTTTGGCCCCCTCCACCGGTCTTCTGGCCCACTGTGCGCCGGTGGTAATGTCGTTCGTCCGAGCAAGGCTGCCACTCTTTTTTTGTCTGTCTTCTGCTCGATGGCATCGTTGCTTGCGATGGGCGGAGCAGGCATGGCAGGCCGAGACGACGCAACGATAGTTCCCTTTTTGCCCACCCTCGGTCGGCCGAGGCCTTGGCGCTGTCCTCGCATTCAAAACTTGGAGGTGCAACGCATAAACAGGCGAATTAGCCCCCGGCCTCCGCCCGTTTCCATTCCGCTGGGCCTTTGGTTTCCCCCGATGCCGCCGCCGGACCGCTGCGCGCGGCGCTTCGATCCATCATGACTGTCACTACACTGGTACTGGTGCAACCGCGGGCCGCAAATTGGACTCGGCCGTTCTCCAATCGTCGCTTGTCACGACCGTTTATTGTTTCTTTCCTGCCAAGTTCCGTGTGTTGCCCAAGCCGCCCTTCGCCGCTCTTTCATTGTAGTGTAGGAGACGGCGGCGGTGCTGGCGGTGCCGCAACGGGGGATGCAGATGGACAGAGACAGAGTCCATCGGCCCGTTTACCGCCATCAAGATGCCCGCCGGACCCCTGCCTTTGTTTTAGGCTGCCAGAAAAGTGGGCGAATCGATCTCTCGATCTGCCTGCCTTCCAGCATGCTTCCAAGCGCGCGACCTCTCGACACCTGTTAAATAATCAATTAGAAGACCGGTCAGGTTAAGCTTAGTATAGGAGTGAAGCGCATTCTCGCAAACATGCCGCCAGTCCAATATGCTTCAATAATAGGTAAAATTTTGTTTACCATTCGATTATTTTAACCGACACAGTACACAGGAAATTATAAATGCACAAATTTTCCAAAGACGGATAAAATTTGAATGAATGAATGAATGAATGAATGAATGAATGAATGAATGAATGAATGAATGAATGAATGAAATGAATGATGAATGAATGAATGAATGAATGAATGAATGAATAATTGGCGGCCGTTTGAAGGGCCGAAGGAACGATTGGTGCGTGCCGACGCAGTGCCGGCACATGCATTCTGCGCATGATCGTCCATTAGCCCTACAATGGTGGTGCCTCTCACGTAACCTCACGCAAGAGAGTCCGCGCTGCGCTGCTCTAGGAATGCCGCATGACGTAATGACTTATTTTCACTGCGACAGATCGAGAGCTCGATCCCTGGGTCGTGACCCGTCCCGTCCCGCACTTAGAGGAACTAGGGGTCTCCGGGGCGGGCCTGGGGGATCTCTCCGGGGCATCTCTGTAGACCCCGGAGTCTCCAGAGTGGCTCCAGCAATTAGCGGGCCATAACCAGGCCTTCGGCTATCGCCCATTGCCGGACATTGCGGAACGGGCTTCGATTGCCGGCCGAGTTTTGCGACCGCCCCGACCACCCGCGTCACTTTGCGGTGTTGTTTGGCGGTTTGCCCTGACGCACAGTGGGCCAGAGGACCAGTGCAGGCGGCCAAAAATCTAGACGCGTTTTGAGCTCCAGAGTCGCTCGAACCGTACATGTGACCCAAGCAATGAGTTCCTCGTGCGGAGAGCGACCCATTGGTGGGGTCACACGTTCGGTTCGAGTCCTATTTAGCGACTCTGGAGCTCAAAACGCGTCTGGAGCTTTGGCCGCCTCCACCGATCTTCTGGCCCACTGTGACGTTTGCTGTTGTGATTGCAGGGTTGGCCGCAGCGGAGCAGCGCCTCCACCATGGAGCCGCAGTGGAGGTTCTGGACGGCGGCCTTGGCCGCGCTCGCCACCCTGGTCGCCGTCATCCTCGCCGTGAGTAGCAGGACCCGGCTTCCAATACCGGCGGCGGCGGTTTAGTTTTCTCTTTGTTCGGCGCGCCGCATGCGTGACGCCGATCGGTCTCTCTCGCACCCATGCGGGACGCCGACCTGTTGATCGATGCAAGGCGAGACAGAGACACGCAGTCGCAACAGCGGCAACGCATCCCGTTGCAGAGCGCTACCAGAGCACTGCAAAGCCAGCGACAATGGGGCAGCCTCCCTTCCGGGCAGTTTGACACCGGCAGGCACCTGTCTCTCTCGCACTCGTGGGGGTCGCCCGGCCTGGAGTGTGTGAGACAGACAGGCCTCCCACTCGCGGAATCGGTCTGCCGGCGGTCTAGACCTCTGGCTCGGCCGCCCCCTCCCCCTTTCCCACAGCCAGAGGTGGCAATAGCGATATGCCCATTGTCTGGTGTTTCCCCGCACGCGCGGTCCGCGTGGCGCGCCGTGGCACGCCGTGCCACGCCCCACCCGCTCCAGTCCGCGACCGCCGAGTCGAACCAGTCACTAGTCACATTATCGCAGACATTTCGCCCTGGAGAAAAAAAAGAACAAAACCTGAACAAGTCGTTGAGTTTCGAAACGGCAAAGCAAGTGCGTGCGTGCGTGCGTGCGGTTGCACCCTATAGAGTCCTGCCACACGCCCGATGATGACATAAACTGCAGAAACCATTCCAGTCGAATCGAAAAATTAAAGTTGTCACTACCTCGTTACAATTTTTTCACCAAAATTTTTAACAGTCTGTAACCAAAATTTTTGAAGTGTGAGGACGCCATTTTTCATGATGCTCCCCATCTAGCCAAAAAAATATATAAAAATTGAGATACTCACTAGTATTATGTGTTCTCACGTTGGCTTTCATCTTTTTTAGCTTTGATCATTGATTTCCAAGTCGCTGCGCTCGGCCAAGCATCTCCGAGCAGCGCCTGCGGCGCCACGCTCGCCTCCGCGCCGCGACCCAGGCCTGCAGGCCTGCCCGGGCCCCGACGAGAGAGTGCATGTTTCTCATGTCGGCTCATGACAACACAGTGCCCCACACAGTTCTGCAACCCGCTAGGGCCAGTCTGGGTGGATTCCCACCTAAAGGCATTAATTTCCCCAACAGCCAGGGCGGGGCGGGGCGGGGCGGCGCGGACTGTGTGAATTACTTGCCTCATACTGGCTCCATACGCCGCGCGCGCTGAACGACTGGAGCGCGACAACTGACGACGCGTACTCGCAAAAAAAGAGTACTTACTGACTGAGAGGCCTTAAACAAACCGTTCCAGTGAATGCATAACGCGCCCGTTCCGTCTGCCACATCCTCTTCATCGGTAATAAACTTGTCGCAAAAAGTGAGTTACCTCCACTTTTTCAGCAAATGGAGGACGACATGATGACCAGCGGCCCCGTCGAGTACCCGACCTACCACGAAGTGCCTCGCGGACTCAGCTTCAAGTGCAGGGACCGAGGGCCTGGGTACTACGCGGACCCGGAGACGCAGTGCCAGGTAAGCCGACTCACTGTGGGGAGGCGGCTAACTCTAGACGCGTTTTGAGCTCCAGAGTCGATATATTGGACTCGGACCGGGCGTGTGACCCCTCCAAAGGATTGCTCTCTGAACGGGGAATCCATTGGTGGGGTCACACGCTCGTTTCGAGTCCCGTTCGGCGACCATGGAGCTCAAAACGCGTCCGGAGTTTTGGCCGCCTGCACCGGTCTTCTGGCCCACTGTGCGGCTAATAACTGATTGCAGGTGTGGCACTGGTGCTTGCCCTCGGGGCAGCTCTTCAGCTTCCTGTGCCCCAACGGCACCGTCTTCAACCAGGCCGTGCGGGTGTGCGACTGGTGGTTCAACGTGGACTGCCCGCACAGCCCGGACCTCTACTCCATCAACAACGACCTCTACAAGGACAAGGATGGCAACTACATCTAGAGCAAACCCAAGACTCGAAATCATGTTTTTCATTAGGAAGTTTCATTGAAAAAACAAAGGCTCCCTCCGGAATGATTGATTCCCTGAAAGTGGATCAACTGCTCACTCTTATTTTTTGTGTATTATGGAGCAGGTAAAAAATGTAATAATTGACAGAATTCAACTTCGTATTTATTGTATGGCTGAGTTTTCAGGGGGGAGAGAACAACTACGGGCAAAAATAGACTATCTGGGTGTCTGGGATGACACAGAGAAACATAAATTTATTGTTACTAGCTTATTGTCGAAGAATTTGCCATTCGCATCAGATAAATTCGTAGAAATTTCAAGGAGTTTTGGATACAATAATTGGCCGAACTTTAGGTGAATCTGAATTGGACACTTCACTGGACAATGAAATTGCTCGAAAAAAACAACCGTATGGACGAAAATCAACGTCTATTCTAGTGATGTAAATCACGTAATAGTTTTAAGCTGAATTTGTATTTTTCTATGTGTATTTATAAAGATATTAAAGTAAATAAATATTTTACCACCAAAAGCCCCTTTGAAAGTGAATGCACGCCACGCGAACACGGAGTCCACTGCGCACCAGGACGGGGCCGCCGACAGCGTAGGCAACCCATTCGACAGCCGGGGCCTCAGAGCGGCCTTAAAGTTTCATTGTAGTGCTGCGTGGCCGCCTATGGCTGCCTATGGCTGCCCCTACACACGGGATGCTTGACCTTCGGCCATCGAATTGTCCGTCACGGCGTACAAGTCCTCCCTGCGTGCTGGAGGGAAGGCGTAAGGTAGGTCCGTCCTCGCCGGCTGCATGCGCTGCACCTCGGACTGCTCGAGCAGATCTTCTGCCGCGTCCCCTCCCCCTTCCACTCCTCCTCTTTCTTCACCTTTTCTCTTGGTCCGGTCGCTGTCGGAAGAACAGAGGCAGTACGTGCTCTCACACTGCAAGCAAACGCAGAGGCCACCTCAGTACAGGCAGGACAGACACTCGGAGTTGTTTGCAAAAATGCTGTTTACCCTCGCGCAAAAAATAATCTTTTCGGAGAAGTGCAAGCAGCTTTTTGACGGAAATAATTCCGAAAACTTGGAAAAGTGCTTAAGAAATTTTTGGCGTACAAGGTCCGGAAAAGAGGTCAACATTAGGAATATCGACTACTAATAGCGTAACAAGTAAGTGCCGGGGTCTTCGGGCATGGCATGACTCGTGAAGTCCTCGGCTGCATGAATGCACTGGTAAAACAAAGGCATAAAAATTGCGCCCTTTAAGGGGCTACAGCGTGCACGTACCGACGCATCGACGCACTCCGCGAAGGAGCAGGCAAACAGGGAGGTGCAGCAGTTCCCCTCGCTGGCCGGGGTGTCGGCGGCGCTGCCGGTGTCGGCGCCGAAACACGTGCAATCAGCGCAACCGGCGCAATCGCAGCAACCGGTGCAATCACCGCAATCGCCGCAGGTTCCGCAGTCGCAGTCGCCGCAGTCGCAGGACCCGCAGTCGCAATCGCTCATGGCGGACTTGGTGGACTTGGTGAACTTGGCCTTGACGCGCGCGCTGCCGCCGGCAAGAGCGTCACACTCGTTGCGATAGGTTATGGCGGGCCGTCCCGTCCCGTCCAGGCGTCGCGCGTCCGGCGTAGCCTGGCGTAGCCCCCTCCAAGGTTGGCGGTTGGGGCCCGACTGCTGTGTTTTGTTTGTGCGGGTCGTGCGTGGCGTGGCAGTGGCGTGGCGCTAGCTGGAGGCACTCGCTCCTGCCCGCCCGACCCGGCACCTCCCGGCAGACTGATTCCGAAGAGGTGGTTTGTCGCTGCCTCTCTCTCGTACTCCTGGGGCGCCCCTTGGGGGTGTGGGAAGAGCAGCGGCAGTGTTCGGATTCAAACTACAGCGGTGTGCGTCGCTCTGTCTCTCTCGCACCCCTGCGGGACGCCCCTTCCGTGCGAGAGGGATGGAGCGACGAAGCACTTTCGGAATCGGCCTGCAGAGGTCCCTCACCCGAACCCGAAATAGTAGGCGGGACGGGAGAGAAGGAGGGGAGGGGGCGCCAGCTGAGACGTCTCTTTGCCCCGGATGGATGGGCAGGCAACCCGCGCGTGCCTTGGCGCTGTCTCTCTCGCACTCAATGGTGGGCCCGTTGGGGTGCGAGAGAGACAGCGCGGCTGGGAATCGTAGGAATCGGCCTGCAGGCGCCACGGACGGTGCGACGCGGCGGCGCCAGTGGCCTTGCCGGCCTTGCGCAGCGCGATCGATGGGAAACTGACAAATAAGAGCAACGCATGCGCGCGAGGAGGACCAACATTTTTGGAACGGACTTTGCGGGTGTGAATGAGAAACCTTTGGCAAAGTTCGTGATTTTAGGAGAACAACTCGGCGCCACTGTTTAACCATGGGTTTTAATCGAGTTTAATCCAATGGTGAAGTAGCTAATTTTATTATAAAAATTCGTCGTTTCCTTTTCAGTCCGTTGACACTTTTTGTGGTTTTTTTGGTAAAAACATGAAGTCCTTCATTTCTCTACGTGACGAAGTCGTAGTCCGGGGGCGGCGGGGGCACCGGGGGCGGCTCGGCGGGCGGGGTCACGCCGTCCAGCTCCATGAGCTGCAGCCGCACCTCCATGTCCAGCAGCAGGTCCAGGTCCCTCTTGACGGCCGCGCTCAGGTACTCCTTACCTGCCGGGCAGTCTCGTTGCAGACGGACGGATGGATGGACAGACAGACAGACAGACAGGCCACCCAAGCGCCCAACGAGTCGAGGGTAGGCAGCACCGCCCGCCACGCCGGCCAGCGGGTGTCCTATCGCGGACTCGTAAGGCGCTTGGAGGCGATCTCTCTCGGTGCTGATTCGAATGTAGACTCACCCAGCAGCATGTTCAGGCCGTCCGCCCACGCCTCCAGGGTGGCCACGTCGGGGGCGATGAGGTCCAGCGACCCCGCGTCGCTCTCCTGCGGGTCCAGGACCAGGGACAGCGCCAAGTCCGAGGCGGCGCTCTGCTTGCGGCCCCTGCAGGCCATGGAGCACCAACGTCCCGCTCAAAAAAAGTTTCCACTCGTCGGCCGTCCCACAGTGAGCCAGAAGACCGGCCAAAACTCAAGACGCGTTTTGAGCTCCAGAGTCGCTAAACGGGACTCGAACCGAACGTGTGACCCCCACCAATGGATTGCTCTCCGAGCGAGGAATCCATTGTTCGGGTCACACGCTCGGTTCGAGTCCTGCTTAGCGACTGTGGAGCTCGAAACGCGTCTGGAGTCCGACCTGGTGCCGTAGACGCTGGCGCACTTCCTCCCCGTGACCACGGTGGTGACGGCGGCGAGCTGCACGGCCTGCGGCGTGCCGGTCACGTCGGCCAGGTCGGCGGCGTCCTGGCCACACTCGGCGTGCTGCAGGGCGGCGTCGCGCTGCGCCAGCCACACCCACACGAAGGCCCTCTCGCGCTTGGAGGCGCTGCGGTGCAGGCGGCCCAGGCCCGGGCGCCGGAACTTGGTGCCCGCCCTGAGCGCGGATAGGCGCTGCTGGCGGACGAGCTGCCGCAGCCCGGGCGCGCCGCGCACGCCGTGGTCCCCGAGGCGCCGCTGCCGCAGCTGCTGCACGGCCGGCGAGCTCAGCACCGTGTCCTGCTCCGCCGACAGGCACTCCTTCTCCCAGAGTGCCGCCACCGCCGAGTACGGCAGCTCGCTCAGCCAGCGGTCCATCTGGTCCCAGCTGTTGACCTGCGCGTTGAGCGCCTCGCGGAACTGGCGGCGCACCACTCTCAGCACCTGCGGCAGAACGAGCACGCCGTCACACTGTCGATTCGCCAGAAGACCGGCGCTGGCGGCAAAAACTCTACACGCGTTTTGAGCTCCAAAGTCGCTAAATGGGACTCGAACCGAACGTGTGACCCCACCAATGGATTGCACCCCGAGCCAGCAATCCATTGGTGGGGGTCACACGTTCGGTTCGAGTCAACGCGTCTTCCACTCCACCCACCTTGTCCTGGTCGCGCTGCGTCTTGGCCCGCATCTCCCTGCGCGTCTTGGCCAGCAGGTTGAGACCGCGGCAGAACAGCTCGTGGAAGAAGGGCACCTCCCTGGCGAAGACCAGCGGCTGGTACAGGTGGGCCTTGGCCGCCGTGGCCTTGGCGCGCGTCGCGGTGGCGGTCGTCGGGGTGCTCCAGGCGCCGCCGTCGTCGCACAGGGACAGCTCGGCGCCGAGGAGGCGCACGAGGCGCTCCGCCGTCACGGACAGCGCGCCGTGCAGCGCCTCCTGGAGGACGAGGCGGCCGGTGAGTGCGGGACGCACAGTGGGCCAGAAGACCGCAGGACGTGTTTTGATCTCCAGACTCGCCGAAGGGGACTCGAACTGAACGTGTGACCACCAATGGATTGCTCTCCGAACCAGGAATCCATTGGTAGGGTCACACGCTCGGGTTGAGTCCTGTTTAGCGACTCTGGAGCTCGAAACGCGTCTAGAGTTTTGGCCGCCTGCGTCGGTTTCCTGGCCCTCTGTGCGGCGTGCCGGCCAAGGCCGTGAAGCAGGTGGAACTCTACTCACCTCCTCACCCTCCGCCCGCCGCGCCAGGTCGGGGTGGTGCGAAGACAGGTACTGCAGGCACTCCTCGCCCAGGCCGCTGAGCGTCGGCTTCGGCTCCGGCACGTCGTCGGCGAACTCCTGTAGAAAGACACGCGGTCCTCAAGCTGCTATGGGGGTGGCCGTCGCTAGGAGCAGGCCATGTGATGTTGCGTACCGTCCAGAGGCTTGAGACGCTGTGCTGGCTGATGTCCGAGGCCGTACTCGTGACGCTGGCCAGGCTCGTCGTCGACCCCCTGAAGTTCAAGCTGGTCGTGGAGGCCGTCATCGACGCCGTGCTCGACGCCGTGGTTGGCGCGGCAAGGGCCGCGTGTTCAGCGACCGCCATCGGGCTGCCCGAGAGCATCTTGTACGGGGACTCGTGTTCAGCCACTGCCATCGGGCTGCCCGAGAGCTGCTTGTACGGGGACTCCTCCTCCAGGGAGCGGCGGTCCCGCGCGCCGTCCGCGCCCCTGACGGCGTCCTTGTCCTCCTCCCCGCACCAGCTACGGCTGTGCAGCAGCGAGGCGGCCTGCAACGTGGCCAAGGGTGGCTTCGTGACACAGCTTCAGTGGGGTTTCGTCGGGGTGTTACCAGTGCACTGTACCGAGGTCTTTCGCCGCAAGAGGCGCGGCGGTGGCCTGGGCAGCACGAGGGGGTCCAAGGGCTGCAGTGCCGACGAGGCCCTCGTGGCCATGGCCTTCTTGAGCGGCTGCAGGATGAGCGACTGCAGCTGGGACAGCTGTCGCGCCATGTTGGAGCGCACCGGGCTGCAGAGGATGTTCTGGACGATGATGGTGCACACCTGGATGGAGAGGAAAAGAGGTGTTGCAGCACTCGCCGTACAGGCTAAAACCCTGACATGATCTTACGTACCATCGGCGAGGTGACGGTCTTGGTGACCTGCACCCGGCCCTCGGCGCTGTCGGGCCCCAGGCGGCCCTCCCTCGCCGCCAGGGCGTTCATCAGCTCCAAGGCGGCGGCCTGCGGGACAGCGATTCCAAACATGCCGCGGCACTAGAGGCATCCTAGCTGGGCACGGGGTGGATCTACCTGCACGCCGGGCTTGTTGGAGTCCCACAGCAGCGGCACCAGGTCCACGACGCCGAGCTGCGGCACCGGCGACAGGTTCCAGGCCTTGGCGCTCACGGCGGTCAGCACTCGCAGCGACGACTCCAGCACGTCGGCGTCGACGCCCTGCTCGGCGCGCACCAGCACGCACAGGACCTCCACCAGCTCGGGCAGCGCCGTCTCCCTGCCCGTCAGCGTGCCGTGGCGCACCAAGCAGAGCAGTATCCTGGAGGAGGAGTCTCATTTAGCGACCCTGGAGCTCAAAACGCGTCTGGAGTTTTGGCCGCCTGCAGCGGTCTTCCGGCCCACCGTGCAGTAAGGTCATATGGAAGATAGGTCTGCGCAGCCGAGATGCATGCTGGGAGACCGGGCAAGCCGGCAGGCAGGCTGGCAGGCAGGTAGGCGGTCCTCCGCAGACCTATCTTCCATATGACCTTACCGTGCAGCGGCAGCGTCACATGGAGAACGAACCCGAGTACCTGAGCGTCCACACCTTCTCGCGCGTCCGCAGGCGGTGCGCCTTGCCGGCCAGCAGCACGCCGAGCACCAGGCCGACGGCGCCGGGCCGCGACGCGAACTCCGTCACGAAGGTGGTGTCGCCGGAGAGCTCGGCCAGCTGCAGCAGGGCCCGGGACCACTCCTCGTGCTTCCTGCGGCACCAAAGAAGATGCCATCTCACTCGCACTCACGGGGCGTTGCGTGTGGGTGCGAGAGGGGCAGAGCGACTCACGCGCGCTCCAGCATCCGCGCTATGATGTGGTCGCAGAACACCTCCGGGGCGTAGACCAGGGTGAGCTCCGCGCCGTGCGCGAGCTCGTGCCGGTTCAGCTCCGAGATGTACTTGTGCGAGGCGAACTGGGCCGCCCCCTTGGCCTTGTAGCGCCCCGCCGCGGCGACGACCGTCGTGAGCGCGTAGTGGTCGGGCCTCCAGCGCAGGCCGTGCTCGGCGCAGAGCATCTGGCACACGTCCTGCAGCGGGACGTTCTGGTCCAGCTCCAGCAGCTGCGTCTTGCCCTTCACCGTCACCGACACCTTCACCTGCAGCACACAGTTAGAGTCAGCTGCGGCGCACAGTGGATTTGCCAGAAGACCGGTGGAGGCAGAGTCGCTATGTGGGACTCGAACCGAGCGTGTGACCCCACCAATGGAATGCTCTCCGACCGAGGAACCCATTGATGTGGTCACACGTTCGGTTCGAGTCCTGTTTAGCGACTCTGGAGCTCAAGACGCGTCTAGAGTTTTGGCCGCCCGCGCCTCTCTTCCGGCCCACTGTGGGAGTGGGACGGGGCGATATGCAAGGGCCCAACGCAGGAGCGTTAGTTACGTCACTTCGAAGCCCTCCTCGAAGCCCTGCACGTGATGCCGAACAGGGGTTTCGTCGCTCCATCCCTCCCGCACTTCCACGGAACGCCCATAAGTGCGAGAGAGACAGAGCGACTGGAGCGCCGCTCGCAATGGCACCGCTGGACGTCGTGCCGACCGCTCCAACTCGCTAGTAGCGCTAGGACGGAAGCTTCGGCCTGCTTCGGCCACACCGTGACAGCGGCAGTGTGTCAATTGGATGCCTGCGTGTACAGCCACGGCCATAAGTGGACGACGGAATGCTTACGACGTCCAGGGCGTTGGGCGGCGACGTGGGGGCCCCGGGGGCCCGCACCAGCACGGCGCTCACGTGCGCCGCGCCGTCGGCCTGGTCGTCGGCGTGGTCGTCATCGTCGGCGGCCAGGCGGAGGTCGTGGTCTTCCTCCTCGTCGATGAGCGTGGCCGTCTCGGTCTCGGAGTCCGCCAAGGTGGTGGTGTCGTCGTCGCTGAAGGTCTCGTCGGCGTCCTGGCCGGCGGGGCTGCCGTCGTCCTCCATGCCGGACTTCCCTTGCTTATCGACTTCCGGCGGCGCTGCCGGCAACTGCAGCGACTGCAGCTGGGTCCTGCCAGACCACAGCACAGCGCGGTGTTACGTCACGTCAGGCACCAGCAAGCAAAACAAATAGACTCATGAGCAAACTCCTCGTAGAACGGACACCGGTTTGGCTGTCCCTCTTCCAGCGAGGCTCTGCACGAGTCACCCAGTCACTGGCCACTGCGCCAATCGCGTTTCGAGGCGTGCCAACATGTACCCAGACCCCGGATCCGTATCACCGACGCACTTACTTCCGACTCGGCGCACAGTGGGCCAGAAGACCGGTGGAGGCGGCCAGAACTCCGGACGCGTTTTGAGCTCCAGAGTCGCTGAATGGGACACGAACCGAACGACGTGTGACCCCACCAATGGATTGCTCATTCGGCGAGCAATCCACGTTCGGTTTGAGCCCTGTTAAGAGACTCTGGGGCTCAAAACGCTTCTAGAGTTTTGGCCGCCTCTACCGGTCTTCTGGCCCACTGTGCGCCCTTCCCGGGCCTTACCCGGACTCCTCTGTCGCCGCCAAGCAGTGGGCGACGCACTAGGAGAGCTGCGCCGCGCGGCAGGCCGAAGGCAGGCCCGCTGCCCGCTCCGCCGTGGCTGCCATGGCTGCGGCCGGCAAGGCAAACTACTGCTTGACGCGATGCGATGCCGCGATGCCGCCTAGGCTGCCGCGCTGCCGCGCCCCGCCGATACCACGCGATAGAGCCACGGCCCGCCGCGAGCCAAGTGTGATAATCAGGTGAGGGGACGGGGGAGGAGGGGAGGGGGCGTCGTGGTGGGGCACTGGGTCATGCAGGTGCGACCGCGGCGTCCGCGGCGTCCGCGAGGAGTCGTGCGTGACGACAGCGCCTTCGTCCTGTCCGTCTTGGCCGGCAACTGGATGTCATCACCGCACACTAAATCCTCTCCTTAGCGTGAAATAAAAGGAACGGTTATACATCCGTACGACCGTGATTTCTTCAGAGCTTAGAAATAGAAAGGCCCTATGATTCCGTTGGCCGCGACGCATTGCGAAGTGGTTTGAGCTCGGCGCCCTCTGGACTGCGAATAACCGCCTGTCTGCTTCTATCGTGCGAATAGCGCACTGATGACAGGCCGCCCCGCCCGCCCGTTGCACTTGCACCGGCATCAACATGATTGTTTGGGCTGTTTTCACTTTGATTTTGTCCAGTGTGTCCGCCCTCGGGCAGTCAGGTTTGTACGGCGATGAATTCCACGAAGAACTGGTGCTGAAGCAGCTACCGAGTGGACATGTCTACTCATATTTCCAGTTTACAACGCTGTGGGAAAATGGTGGAGACCAACCTAGTAAGTTGCTCTTGTTATTGATTGTTTATTTTTTATCTACTGCATTTTTTCCTGAGATAGAATGTAAATTTTTTGCTCTTCTCATAGCTCTACTCTCCGCTCATTTATTTTCCTTTTCCATCTATTTACGTTAATGCTCATATTTCTTATCTTGATGATCGCTTGAACATACAACCTATTCTTTGAGTCCATTTTTCTTTAATTTTTTGGTATATTTCTAATTTTGTGTTCCTGTTTGTTAGATCACCATTGTCACCTTTTCCCCCAGTCTTTGTCAGAAGTTCTACATTTGTACAATGTAGACGAGATGCACCTGAGTTTGACGGGTGGATTGTGGCGTCATGAAAACTGGGGGTATCCCGTTGTTAGTGCTCCACCAGGTGCTGAATTGTGGGCTTGGTTTAAAGAGGGTACTCACGAGTAAGTATTTCTGATTTAACCAATGTTTCATGTGCTGTCCTGAAGTCCGGTGTTACTAACATCAATTTGTTTCTTCAGTGTTGATAAAAAATGGACCCTTCTGAGTAATGCTCTTTCTGGCCTCTTCTGTGCATCGCTGAATTTTATAAATCCTCAGCAAAGCCCAAGTCCAAAGTACAGTTTTGCACCATTAGGTGCTTATGGTTCGGCTTCTCAAAACAGATCATTACTAAGGTACTCAACTTTACCTAGGGAAATTGTGTGCACTGAAAACCTAACACCTTTCAAAAAATTATTACCGTGTGACTCAAAGGTAAGAACTCTTTCTGGGCAACATCATTTCATGTTTGTACACTTATTATAAATTGCTAAATACCCCTGTTTTCTCTAATTTCAGAAGGGCCTCTCTTCTCTTCTAAATGCTGGTAACATTCACAATGCAAATTATCATTCTCTTGGGATCCACGTCCGCCCACAATGCAAGGTACACTGTTGTTAAAATTTTTGTTTAAGTACGATAGGGATTTTTATAAAAATGCTGTATTGTTCTACTTGTTGTTCTACCAATGTTGTCTCATTTTCAGGATGAAAACTGTCATGAGACTGTACTTGAACTAAAACAGACAGTCTCTTTGGTTTATGATCTCATAATTTTAGGCCAAGAAAGTCGAGACTGGTCATTTAGAAAGCTCTTTGGTGTTGGTCTTGCTGGTCCTTGTCCATTGGCAAAATCCAGTAAAATATATGTGGATTGTAGCACCAATGCGGTAGGTCTTACAAGGATTTGCTAATAAATGGAGGTATAATTTTCTTTACTCTTCAAATCATTTGATAATGTTTCAACTCATCTTTACAGACCACATTTGATTATAATTTGTCACCCGATCCAACTGAGTTTATAAACAGCAATCGTGGCGGGTACAATACAGTATTTGCAGTTTATGATATCAAGAAAACTCACATCATCAACATGTTCAGCGTATCAGCCACTCACAAAGGCCCCCGAGTTCAGTCTATTATCAGCCCACCTGTCATACATGCCACAAGATACATTGTTGGTGAGTAATCTTGCATATTAAGGTGAGGAAAAAGTTGTTGTCACTAATAATGGGCTCTGATAATTTTCCAGGCTATGGCCAGGAACATGGAGGCATTGTGACCAAGATTCACAACAACCACTGGAAAGAGATTGACATAACATTATTTGAAAATATTCCTTGGTTTTTGCCGACCTATTACCACACCCTCAAAATTACTGCTAACGGTGGTAAACAAGTTTTAAAACCATGTAAGTTACTCTTAAAAAAATTGCTGTTTTACATTTTTATTTGAGCTTCAAGATATGCTTCACCTTTCTATTTTCTATTTCTGCTTTAACTTGAGAGTTCTGAATTTATTTCAGATGCCAAGCATTATCTGCCTGGAAGGGACCGCAGCAGGCCTTACACCTTAGAGTTTTTGGTCACACTGCCACCACGGTCAGTTACAGAGATATACCTGGAGTTTGACTACAGCTTTTTAAAATGGCAAGAGTATCCTCCAGATGCCAACCATGGTTTCTATGTTGGAGCAGCAGCAATTACTACTCTATTGCCGCACACCAAGAATTACACTGGGGTCCCCATCGATGGGTCAACCTTTTCATCAAGGCATGCTATCTGATTTCATGAAATTATCATTGATCATTGTTAGAATGTTTTAGAGAATGTTTCATAACTGTTCTTCTTGTTGCAGTATTAATGCCTCTCGAGACACCTATCCTGTTACACTTCACACGGAAATTTTGCTGGTGACTTTGCCGACACCTGATTTTAGTATGCCATACAATGTAATATGTTTGGCATGCACTGTAGTGGCTTTAGCCTTTGGCCCTCTGCATAATCACACAACGAAGAGGTGAAGCACAAATGCTTACTTTATAAAATCATTACAGAAATACTAGCAAAAGATTTTTAATCTATGGAATAATTTATGTTTTTATTTGTTTTTACAGATTGCAAATGTTGGATCCATCTGAAGAAACTAAGGGAGTCATAGCAAACTTGAGGCAACGACTGAATTCATTTCTTACCCAGTCAACTAAAGCAAAGGAGCAGTCTTCACCTGCTCCATCAGAGGTAATTAAATCACCACAAAAAGAAGAAGCAGCATGTGGTAGTAAAGTCACAAGTCGTAAGAAGGACCGAGCAGCTAAGTCAAGTTGACAAATATTGAATTAGGACTGAACTAAATAGAGTGAGTCTGTGAGGAAAGATATTCTGTGATGTCTTTTGTATTTGAGATAGTTATAATTTGGTATGCTAGTGTAAATACAGTTAAAATTATGCCATCCAAGTCATGTTTTTTGGTGAAGATATAACCAATTTGTTTGTGATATACAGTATTTGTTAAAAATATCCGCTGTATTGACTGATTGTCATATTCTAGCAAGACGATAATTGGGATTATTGTAAGTGCAAGTCCAAAACAAAGTGTTCTAAGTTCATTTTGAAGTTCAGAAGAATAAGGTAATTCAAAATTGAATGACAAGTACTGAAACTAGCCGACATATTTATTTTAAGTGAAAAAATATATACAATAAATATGTTAACATTCAAAACTTTGAGTTCAGAAACTCACACACATTATAAGCAGATGCAGTTCATAATGACCTGCTCAACCTCAAGTTTTCTCTCATTCTAACCACAATTGAGCAAATGTTCATTCCATACTGTATTGGGCAATGACTAACCAACTCTTCACGCTAGAACAATAGTTGAATGAACTTAATGCAAAGGCACAAATTGATAAACATGTTTCTAAAAACAAACATTTTCTTATTTGAAGATCACAGAGAGCTGTACAGAAGCGTACAAAAGATAGCTCAACCAGCACCACTCATTCATCACTTGATTGAATTAACCTACTAATGAGAGCAATCACTTTAGACAAAACAAATAACAAATTAAGTACAAATCTTACATTATTTAATGGAAAACTCAACCCCATTCAAAGAGCTTCAATAACAAATAACTAGCTCTGTAGAGGCTTCCATTACTTATAAAATTCAGATTAAGTACCTATTCCACAAGAAATTGGCTGGAGTTTTAAAATTAAATAACTCCAGCAAATACTCCTGTCCACTTCAATGTCGATTGGATACAGTAGCCCATGTAGAGTACAATGTCTGCATTCCACATAACTACTATTAATTAACAGGAATTAAACTATGTGATGCAGTTTTGTCCATGAGTTACAGGTAGTAGACAGGTGGTCTCTAATGCTGCTTAACAATTCAGTAATACAAAACACCAACTACATCTCAGCGCAAACTTTCTGCAACAGCGCTACAGTTCCTCCTCACTGGTATATTTTCTAGAAACAGTCCATTAAGTCTTTATGTTCACATTTTACATAAAGATTTTCTTTCAATAAAAGAAGATGCAAACTTGAAGTTTTTAATTCATTTTTTGAATCTTATTTGCTTTTTATTTGTTCTTTTAGAATCGAATTTTATTTGTTATGATATCCTGGTAGAGAGATGCTGTTAAGGGAACAAACTTATTTGCAGTTCCATCAAAGAAGTACAGAGCATCCTTAATTTTGGCAGGGTCGTAGGCATCACTTAACAAATCCTTCTTTTGCAGTTTGTAGGTTCCTGAAAACAGACACAACAGGTCGTCATTCAGGGGAAAGACTGTGGGAGTACCTTGCCGAAATTAATTTACTGGTACAGCTTAGGAGATCCTACCTGTCATTGGCAATGATTTCATCGCTCTCAAGAACAGAGGTCTTGCATATACTGGGAGAGACTTGCGCATCCCCTCTGCCAGAGCATCCAAATCCAATTTATTTTCAGAGTCTACAATAGCTGCCATGCCAGCTCTTCCTTCAACATTTGGGATCTAAAAGTAAATATAAATACATACGTGAATCAATAATGAAACTAGAAAATAAATCTGCTGCTATGATATGTCACACAATGGATTGAAAGACATAGTTTGCCACAGCTAACAATCAGAAATCATGCACCTACCTCAACACCATAAACCACTGCATCGCTCATTCCAGCAACATTGCTGATAACTGCTTCCACTTCTGAAGTGGCCACATTTTCTCCTCTCCACCTGAAAGAAAATGAACACCGATAAATTAACCAAAAAGAACCCTAAAATAGAAATAATTTGAAAATGCGGTCCATGGTACCAGACTCACCTGAATGTGTCGCCAGTTCGGTCTTTGAAGTAAAAGTAACCAAATTCATCCATGACTAGAATATCACCTGAAAAAGGAGTGAAAATAGAATGAAAATAAGTATTCTCAAGTTAGTGAAAAACAAAATAAGGAAATGGTTTTTTAAAAATAATAATTTTCTACCTGAATTAAAGGCAGAGTCTCCTTTCACGAAAACGTCCTTGATGACCTTCTTTTCTGAAGCCTTCTTGTCAGCATACCCACTGAATGCACTGTGTGCTTTTTTGGGATTGATTTTACCCACAAACACACCAGTCTGACCTAAATAGAAAGTTAAATAACAATTAAATTATGGCAATTTCAAAATTATACTTGTGCTTTTTAGGGTTGAGCTGAGCCAAGCTGTAAAAATACATGCATGTATGATGACTGTAATAGTACCTGGCTGGCAAACCTGACAAAGTCCATCAGGTCCACGGATAGGTTCACCAGTGTCATCATCAGCACGAACTAGAGATACTGGGTAGACAGCTCCAGCATAACGAGGCACAAAACCGACTGCTCCAACTGTGCTGTCAATGTTGACTGCAAAACAAGTATACTGTTAGTTTAAAGGAAGTGGATAATACATGCACATGACTCAAAGATAAAAACTGACTCACTTATGTTGGAATTACTCTCTGTTGCACCATAAAACTCTCCAACTTCAGCGATGTTGAATCTTTCGCAAAACTGTGTCCAAATAGCTGGCCTCAGTCCGTTTCCGACAACAATGCGAACCTTGTGCTCCTTCTCCGCAGGTTGAGAAGGTACTGTAAGAAGGTACCTGCACATTTCTCCAATATATTGAGCAACCTAAGACAAGAGATAAGATTTAACTCATGTTTACATCTTTCACTTAAGGGATAAAACTTACAAAGACAAATTGTACTCACAGTGCATTTGTATTGGCAACAGTCCTTCCAGAAGTTGGAAGCCGAGAATTTCCTTCGGATGGCAATGGTATTAGCAAAGAGCACTGCTTGGCCGATGCCAAGCATGCCACCAGCTGTATGGTACAGAGGCAAAGGGTCGTAAACAATGTCATCGTCTCTGAAGTTTAGCATGGTGTGAACAGCCACAGCCATGAATTGGAACCTGAACATCAAATTGAACAAACATCACTGTAAACAGAGCTCTCCAAAAGAAAACAAAAAAATAACAATAATGGGAAATTGTAGGTACCTGATGTGATTGATGATAGCAGCCTTGGGCAACCCAGTAGTTCCTGATGTGTAAATGTAAAACAAATGGTCTGTATTCTTAATTTTCGCCATGTCTTCCTTGAGGGAGGTTGCAGGGGTATCCCAGATCTTGACTCTCAGGTCCACTGCCCCAGGGAGCAGTTTTGAGGGCTCCTCCGGCTTGGCGGGGGCATTCTTCGGTGCATCAGCATATTGGAAAATGGGAATGTTGTTCAACTTGGACCGCACTTCCTGCAAGGCTGAATTGAGAGACAAAAGTCAGTAACAGTAAGATTTAAAAATAATCCTTGAAGTTCATGCACGGTTTATTTAGGACAAGTCACTATTCTCCATTGTTAATGAATTAATCAATTGACAAATTGCTCTGAGCCTCAGCGCAAGTGAGCTTCGAGAGGGAATGGGACTGACCGGGAGCGAGCTCGGTGCCCACGATGACGGCCTTGGCGTTGGCGACGGTGATGGAGTGCACCAAGGGGTCCAAGCGGAGGTTGTAGTTGATGAGGGCGGAGGTGGCGCCCAGCTTGGCCAGCCCCATCCACAGGCAGACGTAGTCCGGCCGGGACTCCATGAGGAGCGCCACCGTGTCGCCCTTGCGGATGCCCTGCGACTTCATGAAGTTGCCCAGGCGGTTGCTCAGCTCGTCCACCTGCGCCGGAAAGCTCCGTTGTAAACAAGGCCATCATGTCACAGCGAAATCGAAAGTCACGCGCTTTCAAGGAGCTCAGCTGTTTCGCCCGATGCAGCGGCACGTGCGAAATATGGCAGCCGTTTTTAAAGGCGTCCACAAGGAAACAAGATTCCTGTTCCACTGCGACCCTGAGCAGGTCCCACGGCTTATTTCCTGCCGGTGGTTTTTATAAACGAGAGTCGGACGCGAGGCGCGAATCAAGTGCCAGTGGCGTGGCAGTGGCAGTGGGCTAGAAGACCGGTGGAGGCGACCAAAACTCGAGAAGCGTTTTGAGCTCCAGAGTCGCTAAACAGAACTCGAACCGAGAGTGTGACCCCACCAATGGATTGCTTGTTCGGAGATCAATCTATTGGTGGGGTCACACGTTCGGTTCGAGTCCCATTTAGCGACTCCGGAGCTCAAAACGCGTCTAGAGTTTTGGCCGCCTCCACCGGTCTTCTGGCCCACTGTGTCACGGTTTGGCTCCGCACCTCTTTGAAGGTCCAGGACTGCCCCTCGAACAGGAAGGCGGCCTTCTTGTGGTTCTTCTGCGCCACCGAGGAGAAGATGAGCGGGATGGTGGGCAGCCCCCTCTTCTCCCACAGCCACATGGTCAGGTGCATCCTGACGAACCGAACCAGGGCACTGCAACAGAAGGAGTGTGCGTCAGTAAGGGTGCAGTGCTTCGTCGCTCTGTTTCCCTCGCACCCCGGCCTGGGACGGCGAGAGCGCCTGGCAGGTAGGCAGTCCTGTTGAGCAGCCGTGTGCGCAGGCGACCCGGTTGCCTACCTCGCAGGCGGCACTCCGAGAGTCGTCTTCGTCGCTCTGTCTCTCTCGCACTCACCGGGCGTCCGTCGTGGGTGCGAGGGAGACAGCGACGAAACGGCCCCTGGGCAAGCCTGGCTTTACAGTGCAGGCAAGTCTCAAGGCAAGATTCGGAAAACAACTTTAAAGCAACACAAAATTCATGAAAATAGATTGACGTTAAATGGCGTCCAAACGGGCCCGTCCCTTTATGACGTCATTGACGGGCGTCCCCCGACCGACCACTGTAGAAAATCTCAGCCTATTCATCTAAGGGACCGTGATTAAGCGCGCTGCCGCGCTGCCGATCTCTAAGCCCGCGTGCCGCGACATAGAAGAGGCAAGGGCGGAGGGCAGCAGAGATTACGCCGTCACCTTTGCAGCGCACCGCTCTCTCTCGCTCCCTCACGGGCCGCCCCACGTGCGCGAGAGAGACGCCCCACTCGAAATCAGTCTGCACAAGTTCGGCGCCCCAGATGAGAGAGAGCGAGCAGCTCAGAGATAACCGCATCCTGGCGCGGCAAAACATGCGGCGCCCCGTCTCTCTCGCGCCCTTGGGCCCGTGGGGCATCCCGAGTGGGTGCGAGAGAGACAGGGCGGCAAACGCTTTGCGGAATCAGTCTGCTGCTGCCATGCGAAGCCACGCCAAGCCTCGCCCTCGCCTCGCCGCAGCCGGGAGCACTGCACTCCACGTCGAGTGGGCGCCGAGTCCGTGCGGCTGCTCCCCACAGTGGCTTTGCCAGGAGTCCGGCACGCGGCCGAAACTCTAGACGCGTTTTGAGCTCCAGAGTCGCTAAATGGGACTCGAACCCAATCCATTGGTTGGGTCACACGTTCGGTTCGAGTCCCATTTAGCGACTCTGGAGCTCAACGCCCCGGTCTTCTGGCGAATCCACTGTGCGGCGCAACACCCTTTAATTTGGACCCTTCTGGCACCACCACCCCGTCATTTCCAAACAGAGCAGGTCTCTCTCGCTCCCTTTGACCCTGGCTAGCCACTGGCTCCCTGGCGCTGCACGCGGTGACTTGAACGCCAGGCCCCGACTGAATCCCTTCAGCGTTCCTCCGCTGTCTCTCTCGCACGCATGCGGAGGTCCCCACGGGTGCGAGAGAGCACTGCCAAAAGCGCGGAGACCTGCGTGGAGAACTAGAACGTGCGGAGTTTACAGTGTCCACAGTTCCCGTGCGGCGCAGCACACCTCACAGAGCCCCTGGCGATCTCATTGGCACGGCGGATCGCGGACTCACGCTTCAAGTGCGGAGACTGCGAACTCTGCACTCCTAGGGGCCGAGGCTGCACATTCCGCACCTCCGCGTTCAAGTGGTTTCACAGTGGGGCGACGCGGCGATAGGCCGAATCCACGCGCAGTGCGCCGCCGAAAGCTTCGATGCGATCTTCCCTTCGGCCTCCGGCGAGGAGGCGGCGTCCTGGCGGCGCCCTGGCGGCGTCGCGCGACAGCCTTGGACTTTGGCCGCGACGCCAAGCAGGCAGCGCTCCTGGCTGTCCTCGCGCGGCGGCAGGACTCTCCAGGACCCGCCGCCAACACGCGAGGCTGCCGGCCGCACAGTGGATTTGCCAGAAGACCGGTGGAGGCGGCCAAACCCCGGACGCGTTTTGAGCTCCAGAGTCGCTAAACAGGACTCGAACCGAACGTGTGACCCCATCAATCGATTGCTCTCCAAACGACGAATCCATTGGTGGGGTCCCACGTTCGGTTCGAGTCCTGTTTAGCAACTCTGGAGCTCAAAACGCGCCCAGAGTTTCGACCACGTGGAGGTACCTCCACCGGTCTTCTGGCACACTGTGCGGCCAGCCGGCGGACTCCAGCCAGGACCGGCCAGGACCCCGACAACACGCCGCCGGGATGCACCTCGCTCTCTCTCTCTCTCGCACTCATGGGGAGTCCCGTGCGGGTGCGAGAGAGACAAAGCGACAAAGCGCCGCTCGGGTGGGTGGGTGTCAAAACGGCACTGCGTCAACACCATCGGTCCCAAGGACGCACGGTGTGCGGGGAAGCCGGGGAAGCGCCCTGTCGAGCCTGTCCATCAACCTGGGCGGAGCGGCAGCGGCGGCACGTTGCAATCTGTTTGCCGCGCGTTGCCTAGGCGATATCGCAACGCGGCAACGCCAAACGTGACACTAGCGCCAAACGACGGGCCGATAAGACGAGCAGGCAGACAGACAGACAGACAGACAGACAGACAGACAGACAGACAGACAGACAGACAGACAGACGAGCAGACAGACAGCAGACAGACAGACAAGCAGACAGACAGACGTGCACAAGGGACGGTCCCCGTGACGCGTAGCCCATTCAAGGCAAAGTGCGGCGTGTGAGAACTTGACCGGAATATAGTCGGATCGAGTCCCGGCAGGTACACTGTACAAGTGTACACCGTCAAGCCCAGGCCGGGCCTGAGGCCGGGGCTGCCCAGGCAGTAGGCCCGCCAGTCAGGAGGAGCGTTTTGCAAGAGGCGGTGCGGCGGCACCAGCCAGCCCCGCCGGCCACGCCCAGGGCCCAGACTTGGACTATGAGACGAGGCGGGGAAACAGAAGCAAAAGAAAGGCTTCGCCGCGTGCCCGCTGACGGCAACATTTTTGAATAAAAGAAATTGGACGTGGACTTGTAGAGCGAGCGCACAGTAGGCCAGAAGACCGGTGGAGGCGGCCAAAATTCAAGACGCGCTTTGAGCTCCAGAGTCGCTTAATGGGACTGGAACTGAACGTTGACCCCACCAATGGATTCCTCGTTAGGAGAGCAATCCATTGGTGGGGTCACACGCTCGGTTCGAGTCCTGCTCAGCGACTCTGGAGCTCAAAACGCGTCTGGAGTTTTATCGGCCTCCGCCGGTCTTCTGGCAAATCCACTGTGCGGTGGCGAGCCGCAAGGCGCAAGCAGCCCTTCGGTCCAGCCGGGCCGGGCCGCGCACCACGCGCCTCGCGACAGATGACTCCGCACGTCGCTCTCGTCGCGCTGTCTCTCTCGCACTCGCGGAACGAAGCCGGAGAGGTGCGAGAGAGACGAGAGGCTCGATACCAGGCGGAATCAGTCCCCGACAAGATAAGGCGAGAGCCGCGTGAAGAGTGGCAGGAATTTCGGCACCTCATCGACTACCGCCACTGTGAGTGCGCACTGCTGGCAAGTAGGTTCAAAAGTACCACGCCAGAATAAAATTAAGTGTAACCTCGCAACTGAGCAGGCACGGTCCACCTAGGAAGGGGTGATTTTCGCCAACTTTCAGACGCAAGGCAGAGCTTGTGCCTACCTTCCAGGCGCCCTAGTACCCAAGCGATGCCAACATCAACGCGTCTGGTAAAACGAAAAGCCCTTGCAGTGTCAGGGTCTTTAGCGAGGTCTGCAAGGGGTTGTCACCCTCTCTGCCCGCACTGTTTGCACTGGCTTGCCAAGGCCGACGGCTGCGGCAGATAAGCAGGTACAGTTTATCACGTCAAGGGTAAAAGTGTGAGTAGAAAGGGAGGGTGCACAGTGGGCCAGAAGACCGGTGGAGGCGGCCAAAATTCTAGACGCGTTTTGAGCTCCAGAGTCGCTCAATGGGACGCGAACTGAACGCGTGACTCCACCAATGGATTGCTTTTCGAACGAGGAATCCATTGGTGGGGTCACACGCTCGGTTCGAGTCCTGCTTAGCGACTCTGGAGCTGAAAACGCGTCTAGAGCTTTGGCCGCCCCCGCCGGTCTTCTGACCCACTGTGCGCCCGATTCCGAAGGTACGGTTCGTGACTCCGTCTCTGTCGCACTCATGGGGCGTTCCGTAGGCCCGTGGAGGAGCGAGAGAGAGACAGAGCTACAGTCCCGAGGGAGAGCGCCGCAGCTACACCGCACGCGTGGGAACTCTCGGTCTCCATTGGCCAATTACCACAAGTCGCAAAAAAATGCCAGCGACTCCAGACACGCGCGAGGTCCCACCACAACACTCAAACGGTCACGGGGCGCCATGGGGTGGCTCAGAGTGCACTGCCTCTGCAGCAGGCTCGTTCCGTCTCCCTCGCACTCATGGGGCAGCCGGCGGGGTGCGAGAGAGACAGAGCGAGTCAGTCTGCAGACAGAGATAGGGCGGTGTCGTCGCACGGCGTGTTTTGGAAACGTACGGCATCGTTATGATACAACGATGCAACGCAACGAGGTGGACGCACTCAGTGTCTCTCTCTGTCTGTCGTACTCGTGGGGCGTGGCGGCGTGGCACAGCAGTGCGAGAGAGACAGAGCATGCGGCATCGCTCAGCGAGAGTGTGACCGCACTGTGGGGGGCGTTTGCACGGGGATGTCACCGGGAGGGGGGGGGGGTGTAGCGGGCCGGGGTCGCTCACTCCTCCCGCACCAGGTGGGTGGTCGATATGACATCGGGCTGAACTTTTCGCCGCGTCAAACCAATCCCAAGTACAGGCAAACCCGCGCACAGTGGATTTGCCGGTGGAGGCGGCCAAAACTCTAGACGCGTTTCGAGCTCCAGAGTCGCTAAATGGGACTCGAACCGAACGTGTGACCCCACCAATGGATTGCTCTCCGAACGAGGAATCCATTGGTGGGGTCACATGTTCGGTTTGAGTCTTGTTTAGCGACTCTGGAGCTCAAAACGCGTCCGGGGTTTTGACCGCCTGGCCCACTGTGTGCGGCGGCGGCGGCCCACCGCACCTAATCCGACCGCCCGCGGGTGCGCGCGGACTTGCTATGCCCGCGGACGCGCGGTCTAATCGCGCCGGCTTGGCAGTGTGCCGTGTGAACCGCGGACCGCGGCGCGAACAGTGCAAGGGACAAGTTGCCACTTTGTGGAAAATCACCTCCCGATCCGCTTAAGCCGCTTTCGGAACTAGTGTCGGGCGGTTCGAAGGGACGCACTCTGTGCACGTGGACGCGCGTGGAGGGGCGAAGAACATCCCTGTCCGACTTTGAGACCTCACAAAACGGAACCTACACTCTCGCCTACACTGCTACAGTGTACAGAGCTCGGCGTCCGCCCGTCCCGCGGGCAGGCAGACAGACAGACCGCGCAAGCCGCATCGCGTCAGCAAACCAACGCGTCTCTGCAAAAGCGCGACGCGGAGCAGAGACGGCCGCCCCACGTGCTTTCTGGACGGGCCCCGGACTCGGCCCCGGACTCGGCCCCGGACGACGAACCACAAAGTCCCCTACCGCACCACTCACACACTCACACGCCACGTAATGAACAGACGAATCGCTCCAACCCAACAATGTGTCGGTGGCAAAACTGATGCTCATTCTGCTGCCCTGCTCATTCTGCTGCCCTGCTCATTCTGCTGCTACTCAAAGGACACCGGAAATGAGCAAAGACTCAGTCTTCTGTTAATTAATTCGCGCGCACGACCTGCACGCTGATTCCTAGAGTCGTTTTTGTCGCTCCGTCTCTCTCGCACCAGTGCGGGACGCCCCACGAGTGCGAGAGAGACAAGGCGACGAAAACGCCTCAGGGAACGAGCCTGCTGCGTTCCAGACGAACCCCCGCGACAACGCGACAGAGAAGAGCTGGCGAGAAAGCGGGGCCGGTCGACGCGGCACCGCGATTCGTCGCTCTGTCTCCCTCGCACTCGCGGGGCGTCGCGGGGCGTCCCGCACTGTGCGAGGGAGACGGCGCCAAACGGCAAGTCAGGCTCGTCGGGACCAGCATCGCGCTTTCCCCTGGACCGAGCGCCGCCACCATGCCGGCCAGCAGACTCATTCGCATCGCATCGCTCCGTCGCACCTACATACACAGTGGGCCAGAAGACCGGCGGAGGCGGCTAAAACTCGAGACGCGTTTCGAGCTCCAGAGTCGCTAACCAGGACTCGAACCGAGCGTGTGACCCCACCAATGGATTCCTCATTCGGAGAGCAATCCATTGGTGGGGTCACACGCTCCGGATTTTCAACCACCTGCACCGGTCTTCTGGCAAATCCACTGCGCACCGTCGAAAAGCAGAGTACTCACTTGAGGTCCCTGCCCAGGGTGTGCTGCAGGATGTAGAGCCACTGGTAGCGCGTGCCCGTCAGCAGCCATCCCAGGACGACGGCCAGCCCGGCCTGCAGCAGCATGGACTTGCCCAGCAGCAGCGACACGAACGCCGCCGCCACCAGCACCACGGTGACCGCCGTGCGGGCCGACTTGGCCTCGCCCTTGCCCGCCATCTCGGAGATCTGGAACCACAACAACAGCCATCCCGCGTTAGTTTTATTTATAGTGTAGTGTGCGACGCACGCTGTGAGACAAGTCGCGATGGGAATCCGAATCCGGGCGCACATCGCTGTGAAAATTCGAGCCCTTCTTCGCAAGGACTCCAACGACCTCCTCGAGCGGGCGCGAACCGCGAACCCGGACATTACGCAAACAAACTGGAAAGACTTATTCATTGCTCGCCAATTGACGCAAACCGACCACTTTGGCAACTTTACGAATCCATACTAAAGCATTCCAATCTTTTTTCTCTTTTGAAATTGTTTGTTGTTCAATTGCTTTAATTTGAGCCGACGTCACACTGGAAGTTATAACTGGTGACTCAATCACGTGCCACAATAATCAAACACGAAAAAGTGCCACGGCCGGGTGCGTGTTTGATACCCGATTCACGTTTGAACGAGAGCATGTGATGTCACATTAAACGATTTCCAGTGTTGCGGCCCGCCGTCCCTCCTTGGCTCCGCGAGTGCCCCGCCCCACCCCACCCCGCCAACAGAGATCATCGGCCGCGGCAGCGCAGCCGCAGATTCGGCGACCACGCCGCGGCCTTGACCACGGCCTTGCCACTGCCGCAGCCACCCCTCGGGGTGCGTTCGAGAAGGCATCTCTTCCAACTCTGTCACTCTCGGGAGGCAAAATTTTTGAATAACTTCGAAGTTCCATTTCAATTTCAAAAAAATTCGCAGACAAAATTTGAAGTTTGCTTCCTATCGCCTCCTGGGTGTTCAGGGGCGGTTCAAGGTGAGACTCGCAGGGCTCTCTGCCTGGACGGAGAATAAAAGTCTGCGGTAAGAAACCTCGCTCGCAATTGATTTCCAGTAATGCTGCGTCCACTCAAAGATTTTCGTGATTCTGTCTAAAGTTGCTCTTCCTGCAAGAGCTTTTCAAGGCCGTGTGGTTACGGTGCGACCTTGAGGCCGGTGACCGGGGGGGCCAGGAACCGGTCGGGCGACCCGCAGGCCGCAACGCATCTCCGAACCCAAACCGAACCGGCGGCGTACCTCGCGGCCAGCACAGCCAGGACCGTCTAGAAGGACCAGAGTGGTTTTCCTCCGGCAGATCGATTCCGCATGCACGACAGCGCACAGTGGATTTGCCAACAGACTGGCGCAGTCGGACAAAAACTCTAGACGCGTTTCGAGCTCCAGAGTCGCTAAATGGGACTCGAACCGAACGTGTGACCCCACCAACGGCCTGCTCTTGGGACGGGCAATCCATTGATGGGGTCACACGTTCGGTTCGAGTCCCGTTTCGCGACTCTGGAGCTCAAAAAGCTTCTAGAGTTTTGGCCGGTTTTGGCCGCCTCTGCCGGTCTTCTGGCACATCCACCGTGCGTCGCAGGTTCACCAACAGGCCGCAGCGACAGTCCGCCGGGCCTCTAGACGGGCGAGGCTTCGCCGTGCTTCACTTGGCGAGGGGATCGGTTATCGCCTGGCCAATGGGTTGGTGGGTTATCTCGCTGGATTGGCTGGGATTGGCCGGGGTTGCGATACGGCACTGCCACGGCACTGCCACGGCACTGTACCGAGCACACCGAGTACCGCAACGGGGCGCCAGCACCGCCAGCACAGGCGCACTTACGCCCACAGATTAGGCCGCTGTCGCCGCACGCTCCGCACGCACTCGTGGCTGCTTCATCGAGCCCCAATCTCGGGAGGCGCTCTCCGTTTTGCAATGTTCTCGGTATCGACGCGAACAAGTAAGCTCTTGATCGGATTTTCTTTTTGTTGCTGCCCGGTCCAGAGGACTGGCGCAGGCGGCCGAGCAGGCGGCCGAGCAGGCGGCAAAAACTCTAGACGCGTTTTGAGCTTCAGAGTCGCTAACCAGGACTCGAACCGAACGTGGCACCGAACCCAATGGATTCCTCTTTCGGAGAGCAATCTATTGCTGGGGTCACACGTTCGGTTCGAGTCCCATTTAGCGACTCTGGAGCTCAAAACGCGTATGGAGTTTAGGCCGCCTGGCCCACGGTGGGCCAGTTTACTTTGGCTGTGTACACTTTCCGCGACACTTTCGCACGAGACTGACTGTGCACATGGTTGTGCGCGCCCGACGAAGTGGATACGGTTCCAGCAAGCACGCCAACCTTCCCCGCGCACGCACGAAAATGACTCGAATTTAGAGGCAGGGGGAGGGGGGGAATGCATGTCGTCAGAACTGGGCGCACTATGCCATTCATTAGCACCGCGTGCGTGTGCCAGCGCTACGCTGTGTCAGTCCGCACGACACGCGTGGCTACACACACATGCACGCCACTCACACACACACACACAGACACAAACACAACACACACACAAACACACACAAACACCACACCTGGGCGGCACCCCTCGCTGGCCAGCCAGCACAGCCAACACAGCCAGCTCCCCCCGGCCGGTCGATGGTCGCCACCCGCCTCGTACTCCTTGTCCACGGATAAGCACCCTTCACCCCTTCGACGCCAAGGGCTGCCAGGGACTGCCCGCCAAGGGCGAGCCCGCTGTCCCTTCCGTCCCTCCGAACGGCCGGTCGAAGGGCCGAAAAGAGAGCCTTTCAAACGGAAGGGCGCACCGACACACTGTGAAAATTTGAGTCGTCACTTGATGACAATTTCAAGGCTTATTTTCCTTTCAACAATGTCATCAAAGCAATTGACGACCTTTTTGTCAAGCCCATGCAATAAGTATAGGAGCTTTGACGAAAATGTCATCAATTTGTAGTGAGATTGCCATCATTTCAAAGTGATGAAAATATCATCCACGTTTTTGTCATAAAGTGACAACAAATTTTCACAGAGCAGAACAGCCCGCAGTGGATCTGCCAGGAGGCCGGCGGAGGCGGCCAAAACTACAGACGCGTCTTGAGCTCTAGAGTCGCTAAACGAAACTCGAACCGACCGTGAGACCCCACCAATGGACTCCTCGTTCGGAGAGCAATCCATTGGCGGGGTCTCACGTTCGGTTCGGTACCCATTTAGCGACTCTGCAGCTCAAACGCGTCTAGAATTTTGGCCGCCTCCACCAGACTCCCGGCCCACTGTGCTGCCATGCAATCAAATATTAGTTGTGAACACAACAAACAACTGCGATTTTGTTTTTGTTGATTTCATTCGACGTTTCGGACAGTGCACAGCGCGGTAGTAAAGTGCGGCTCTTAAAACGGTATCGATTTTCCCGGCACACACCGTGAACTGCGGCGTGTTGTCGGGTTGCCCTTTGAAAGCCAACGAGGTACCGCTATCGTCGATAACGAGCTGCTGGCTCCACGGGTAGGCAACACCCTAGCTTGCAGGTCACAGTGGGCCAGAAGACCGGGGGAGGCGCTCAAATTCCGAATGCGTTTTGAGCTCTGTCGCTAAACGGGACACGAACCGAACGTGTGACCCCACCAATGGATTGCTCTCCAAACGACGAATCCATTGGCGGTGTCACTCGTTCGGTTCGAGTCCTGTTTAGCGACTCTGGAGCTCAAAAGGCAAATCCACTGTGCGACGGGCGCTCGAGGCGAAGATGTTAAGGTGGCAAGGCGTGACCCCGGCCAACCCGCTGCGCCAAGCCCAGCCCAGCCAGTCGAGCGATTCGGAAGGGCGCCTTGTAGCTGTCTCTCTCGCTCCCTTATGGAGAGCCCCATGCGAGCGACAGAGACAGAGCGACCAAGCGACTCTTCCGAACCGCGCGGCAGGCCGGTGCACGTGCACCACGCCGTCAGCCCGCGTCAGCCCGCGTCAGCCCGCGTCAGCCCCGCCCTTGTTCCTGACTGACCCAAATAGTGACTCACGAATCCGTGCCTTCCGCCGCCGGGGCCGCCACCCTCCGGAAGGGGAGGGGGAGGGGGAGAGGGAGGGGGGCGACAAGCCGACGCATCCGGGAAAGGAGAGGGATGGATAGGTCACTGCGGTTCCAGACCGACTGCGCCCCGCAAGCAACGCGAAGCATGGCGAAGCCCTTCGCGCGAGCCGAGGGCTTGGTCAAAGGCTTGGTCAAAGGGGACAGGTGAGGGTCGCTTTGTCTCGTCTCTCTCGCACCCCTGCGGGACGAGAGCGACAGACACAACAGACTGCTGCACCGCGTAACGCGCCGCGCGGCTCATGCTTGGCACGTTCTCCAACGGCAGCTTAATCAGTGTAGTCACAGAGTGGCGCAGTCACAGTGGCGTCGACGGGAGCGGGAGGCACTCCTTGAAGCAAGCGCATTTCCATCACAACAATGCCGCTTGCAAACGGGACGAACGTGACAATACCTAGAGTGCCACTAGGAGGCACGCCGCCTCACAGGCGTACACAGTGGGCCAGAGGACCGGTGGAGGCGGCCAATACGCGTTTTGAGCTCCAGAGTCGCTAAACAGGACTCGAACCGAACGCGTGACCCCACCAATGGATTCCTCGTTCGGAGGGCAATCCATTGGTGGGGTCACGCGTTCGAATCGAGTCCTATTTGGGGATTCTAGAGCTCAAAACGCGTCTAGAGTTTTGGCAACCTCCACCCCGGTCTTCTGGCCCACTGTACACTGACTGACTGGAAAGTCTCACGCAAAGTGGTATACAAAATAGCCGCAAGTTGGTTTGATGACGTTCTTGTGACGAAAGTTAACCTTGATGCTTGCCATCAAGTGACAACCAAAATTTTCACGGTGATAAGAAAGATGGGAAAGTCTTTTCACACCGATTGCCATTAATGTCTCATTTTGGTCGTGGGCGGCGACCGACGCACGCCGCTCACCCAGATAGACGGCTGGGAACGGAACAGATGCGACGCGATAGATATCACGCACCTCCTTCTTTTTTGGACGTTATTTTATCGATTGATAAATGTTGACCTTTTGTCCGAAGAGGTACCGCCTTGCCTTGGGCGCGCGCACACTGTAAGTAAGACATTTCTAGCCCAGCGATGCACTTCTTTTTTTTTCGGGGCGCCCCGTGAGTGCGAGAGAGACAGTCTGCCGGCCGCGCTAGTGACCTGCCGCCGAACACGACGAACCGCGACCACGACGTCAGCACCGCCAGCACCGCCAGCACCGCCAGCACGCACAAGCGCTTTTTTTCTTCTCCTCGTCTTGCAGAGTTGCCTCCGCCTGACGGCCTGACGGCCTGACGCGGTGTCCCCGCCAAGCGCCGCCAAGCCAGCCCGGCTCTCGGCCCACAGTGGGCCAGAAGACCGGCCGCGGCGGCGGCTACAATTCTACGCGTTTTGAACTCGGGGCCGCTAAATGGGATTCGAACCGAACGTGCGACCCCACCAATGGATTGCTCTCAGGACGAGGAATCCATTGGTGGGGGTCACACGTTCGGTTCGAGTCCCATTTAGCGGCTCTGGACCTCAAAGCGCGTCTAGAATTTTTGCCGCCTCCACCGGTCTTCTGGCCCACTGTGCGGCCCCAAGCTGCGCGAGGCGCAAGGCCCGCAGTGCAAAGTCCTTCCCTTCCCTGCCCAAACGACATGCCGGCCGCGTCGTGCGCGTCGAGCTGAGGCGCCCGCCGCTCTGTCTCTCTCGCACCTACACGGGACGCCCCGACGAAAACGACTCAGTCTGCTACCCGCCTGCCGCCGCCCGAGTCGGGCCCGGGCCGCTTCCTGGGGCGACTCCTCCGTCACTTTTACACGCGACACGACTTCGACTACGCGCGTTTAAATCCCCCTCTCCCTTTTCTCTACCTGCCCCCCCCCCCCACTACTGAAAACCCGCCCGCCGTCTGGACCCGACACCGTCGAGAGGGAAGTCCAACTGGGGGTAGGAGCACAAATTGAGACCTTTGCTACCCTTCACTTCAGAACCGTTCGCCGGTTCATTCTCACTCTCTTGCATCGTATCATCCGTATCATTTGAGGTTGGGTCTGTCAGTCATTGATTAAGCCGTGAAATATTCCATTCATTCATTCATTCATTCATTCATTCATTCATTCATTCATTCATTCAGTCATTCATTCATTCATTCATTCATTCATTCATTCATTCATTCATTCATTCATTCATTCATCAACTCAGTCGCACATCAATTCGGTCATTTGTCCATTCATTTGTTCATTCACCCATCAATTCCGTCATGTGTCCATTCATTCGTCTATTAATTCAGCATTCATTCATCGATTTTTTTCATTCATTCATCATTTATTGGGGGCTTCAACCGTCTTCGTGTACTCAATCATTCATCAATTCATTCCTGGATGCATTGGCGTGTGCCGCTCATTCCCCCCTCCCCCCACCCCTCCCTCCCCTTTCCACTTCTTGCGTGGTGCCCCTTTCGAAATAAGGGACTGGGCGGCCTCCTGCGGCCCCACCGGCCCCACCGGCCCCACCTCCACCGGCCGCTCCAAGCGCCAGGCCGCCAGCGCCGGCCGTGAGCGGTGCAAGCGAAGCAAGCGAAGAGGCCACCGGTGAAGGCGCAGCCGCGCAGCCTGGCCGAGCTGGGCCGAGCCTGCCTGACGGAGACGGCCTCGAGAGCCTGGAAGGCTTGGGGCCGCCAGGGCCAGGCCGCCTGGAGGCGGACTTGCGCCAGCCGCCCCAGCTTGCAGATTGCAGCCGTGTTCTGCGACTTGCTCCCTCCGTGCGCGACGACCCTCGAGCAAGTCTTGCGAACGCCGGGCAGTACACTGATTCAGAGAGTCGTTTTCGTCGCTCTGTCTCCCTCGCTCTCGCCCAGCGCGACGAAAACGACTCTCTGAATCAGTGTGCAGGTGGTGACAGCAACCTCGAGCCGCCTCCAGCCAAGCAAGCCGGGCGAAGCGCGAAGCAGCGCGAAGCCGGGCCTCCGCCTCCGGTTGAAGGTGAATAAACCCCGCCATGCCAACGGCCTACTGCCTACGGTGCACACTCACCTCTCAACGCCGATCGCCGTCACAGCACCAACAAAACACTCAGCGGCACTTTGCCTCTTGGGGCGTTCGGCTTTCGGCTGCTTTCGGCTTTCGGGCCGGACTTCGGCACTGTCACGGCAGGACTCGGAGGCAGGTTCGAAAGCGCTGCCTCCTGGGAGCCTGGTGCCTGGGCCGAGCGGCAGCGGGCAGGCGGGGCGGCGGGGCCAACACAGACTGAGCCGACGAGTCCAAGTCCAAGAAGCCAAGCCGCAACCCGCGCTCGCCGCTCGCGCTCATGGCACGGCGGCGCCGCGGGGGGGCTGGGGGAAGGGGGAGGGAAGTGAGGTGCTGCCTCGGCTCGGCTCGGTCTCGAAGCTCGGCTCCGACCGCGCTTGCCGGGGCCGGGCCACGCCACGGGCCACGACGGCCACGACGGCAGCCCGGAGTGGAGGTACGCCTCACGCCTCACTCTTGGAGAGACTCCGTCCCTCCTTCCCTTTCAGGGCCAACGGGCAAGTCATTTCGACGTCAGAGTGGTCTAGGTTTCGACCAGGGCGACTCCATTCCAATGACCGAATGGTGAGCTGGCTCGAGTTCCACTTCGTTGTCGCGTTGTCACCCTCCTCTCTGCCCCGGGGAGAAGCTAGCAGTGGATAGAACACGATGAGCTTAGACAGGACCGGGCATTTGCACTTCCTGTTTGCGAGTGAATCGAGGGAAGTAGGCAACTTTTTCCACGAGCCCCTGCGGCCCTGTGGATAGGCAACCAAGACGGGGCCTATCCTTTCCCAGCCTTTCCTGTTTAACGAAATCGCAGCCTTGGAGCACATTGAGGAGAGGTGGAGGATGAGCCAAAAAAATCTTCAAAAAAAAACCTGACCTTCTCCATTTGTACGAACCTTGCTGTTCTTGAGTGGAGAGGCATGTCCTTGCGGTGCGCTGGAAAGTGGAGAGCCCTGCAGCCGCCGGCACGCACCTGCAGCATGATGCCGGAAATTCTATTCGTCTCTCACGCGAATGGGGCTTCCCCTGGGGTGCGAGGGAGACAGAGCGACGAAATCCGGAATCGGCATGCAGCCTACTTTCATCCTGCTCCGGAGTAGCGCGCTGATCCCCTGGCGGGTGGGCAACCCTTCGTACTCCTATGTTGCCGCTGCAGCAAGCAGCAGCAGCAGTTGACAGGTGACAGAACCCTGCGACCCGCGCTGATCCGCCGCTAATCTGTCGTGTCGTCTGCTGCGGGTCATCAGGCATATCAGGGCTAGTGACGGTACTGAGTGCTGAACTTGACGTATCACGTCGTCTGCACGGTGGTTCTGGTGGTGGTGAGTATGGTGTCGGGGCGGTGTGATGTTTGACAACTGCCAGCTCGTTTCACCTCTCATTACTCACTAGCAATGAGTTCACTCTTCACTGCTCACGTCATTGCTGTTGCATGTTTGAACTGAGACTTTCTGACTTGTCAGTCCAGATGCGACGATCCGGGAGAGCTGTCAGATCGGTTTTCACTCTACTGTCCTGATTTATTGTCCCCGTGCTAGGTTATGTCGTTACTTGTTGTTCTCCTTTTGTTTTGAACAATTTAGCTTTGCCTGAATTTATTTCATGTCTTGGAACTAACTGCGTTTCAGTATTCTGATTCAAAGTCATTCATTCCATTCATCCAGTTTGTGTGACCCACTCAAGGACCCTCTCATCCCTATTCAGTCACTTTTAAGTTTCGTGCTCGTGCGGCACTTTTGTTTTAATGTTTCTTTCTGCTTGTTTCAGACCGGTTGAAGTCAACTATGATGCTGAGGACTGCGGTGCGGAAGTCAAGCTCACAGCTGTGTGCAGTGCCTAAGCCCATCCAAGAATGCCGATACCAAAGTCACTCTCCTGTCGGAAATCAGAATCAGAGGTACTTTGCTTAGCTGTCGGTGAACTGCGTTGTTCCTGTAACCAGTCATAACAAAAATAAATTTTTACAGCTGTCAGCTACTTATTGTTGGTGGCGGCTCAGCAGGCTGCTCTCTCGCTGCTAAGTTTGCCTCCAAGTTGGGCCGTGGTAAAGTTGTAATTCTGGATCCGGCTGATGTAAGCAACTTGAGTGAGTTACTGATGTGTTTACACATCATTCGAGCTTAATTGAACTCATAGTTTTGAGTTTTATGATACAGGTGCACTATTACCAGCCTCTCTTCACTCTAGTTGGTGGGGGTGTGTGCTCTCTTGAAAGTACTGTCAAGCCCATGGGATCAGTTCTTCCAAAAGATGCTTTGTGGATAAAGGATGAAGCAGTATCTTTTTCCCCAACTGAAAATGTGGTCAGAACTAAGAATGGATCTAGTATCAAATATGATATGCTTGTTTTGAGCTTAGGCCTCCAGCTCAATTTTGACAAGGTTTGGAAATATTTTTCTAGTAACTGTTTGAGTTTTGTCCTCTAACCCCCCCCCCTCTTTAAAATAAAAGGAGATTTTATTTTATTTTACTACAGGTAGAAGGACTTCTTAAAGCTCTGGAAACTCCTGGGTCTGGTGTTGCAACAAACTATTCACCAAAATATGTCTCCAAAACATTCAAGGAACTAGAATTATTTTCAAAAGGAAATGCTGTCTTCACCTGCCCCAGCACACCAATTAAATGTGGTGGAGCTCCACAGAAAGCAGCTTATCTGTCCGAACACCTCCTGAGAAAGGTACTTATGGGAAACATTTTTTCTGTTTGAGAGAACTGCATGCGGCCTCACCGCATTTAGTCTCACTACATTTTATTAATCATTGTTGCGTCTCAGGCCGGCAAAAGAAAGGATGCCAACTTCCTATACAGAACTGGTGCAGCTGTCTACTTTCCAAGTCCCCACTATGAGAAAGTCCTGTTTAAAGTAGCTGAAAAGAGGGGAATAGATGTTGCTTTGAAAGAAGACCTAGTTAAAGTGGATCATCTTAACAAAACTGCAACCTTTGTGAACATGGATTCAAAGAAACAATCTACACTGGAAGTATGTGGTGTATTCCATTTGCTTTTTTTAAAAAAATACTAGTTGTGGTATTAGTCTGATTTTTTTATTACTCTCAATTTCAGTTTTCTTTTTTGCATGTAACTCCACCGCAAGGCCCACCTTCAGTCCTTGCCCAAACTAAGGACCTGGCGGATGCTGCTGGCTGGGTCAATGTGAACAAGGAAACTTTACAACATGTTAAATTTAGCAACATTTTCAGCTTTGGGGATTGTTCTAGTCTCCCCACATCAAAAACTGGTGCAGCTATTGGTAAGAGCGTAGATAAATTCAAAAGTTTGTGTAATATATTTAATTTCAATCTATTAACTTTAGCTATTTAATTTTATCCAGCTGGGCAATTGGGTATCATTGCAAGAAATTTATCCAATGCTCTTAGTGGGAAACCATTGGAGAGCAAATACAATGGCTACACATCCTGTCCTCTAGTCACTGGATATGGCTCTCTCATTTTAGCTGAATTTGATTATGACAAGAAGCCTGTTGAAACACTACCATTCGATCAAAGAAAGGAATCCAGGATCAACTATGAACTTAAGAAGCATGTCATGCCAGCTATTTACTGGAATCTCATGCTCAAAGGCATGTGGGATGGGCCTGGCATCATTCGGCGCATTACTAATCCTTTTTCTTAAGGTTTCAATACTTCATAGAAAAGTTAAAAAATGTAATTCTAGATAAAATTCAAATTTTTGCACAAGATAGAGCGAAGTGCAATCTGCTTTGTGTTAAATCACATCTCTGTTCACATCTCTCTCTAGGTTCTTCTAGTTATTAATTGTATTGGTTGTGGTTCTCACATTGTGGCGGAATGGTCTCTTTAACTTAAATGTGATACTTGGAATTAATTGTGATATGCAAGCAGTTCAATGACAAATTTTAGCATAATCATGTTGGAGGATGAAGTTTTGAGAATATAATTCAAGGTCTTTTATGGAAATTTGTTTTATTCAATTTTAACAATATCTCTAAGCTGTGTTAATTACAAAGAAAATAATAGGGATAAATGAATTGATTTGATTTTGCCTAAAAGTTCTTTCTTAAAAATGAGTTTTACCCAATAATGACATTTAAAACAATATAGCATAGTACTGCATAAAGATTCAAATTTTATCCAAACAACAGTAAAATAAAATTTGTGGTAAGTCAAAACAACAACAAAAGCTAAAAACAGAAATCGCAGTCTGGTTTCTTCCAGTTGCAAGATAAAACAAGTGAAATTCCTCACATATTAACAGTAAAACAAATGATCACAAGGTTTTGGCTGCTTCACCTTGGGTTAATCACATCAATCAACCCAAAGCAAGCAATGATTCTGGACTTGGTTCAGGTACATCTTTGTCTTTCAATAAACATTTTACAAGCAGTGTTTAAACAAACTTTAGACCGATAATTGTGCTTGTTGGTATTCGAAGACACTTCCACGTTCAATGTGCTTGTTGTTCTGTTGCACCAAAGGCTTACCATCTTTATCAGATGGTCCATATCCTCCGCCCCCTGGAGCGTTCAGCTGGAAGACATCCTGTTCAACAGAGTAAATCATTAGGAAGTTTCCTTACCCTATATCTATATCAACAAGAAACAAACATTCAACTAAATGAAGACCTACCCCAGGCTCAACATTAATCGCAGTCTTAGATCCTAGGTAAATCACACGACCGTCTGCTTTGAGCATCAAATTTAATCCTTTTTGACCATCTCCACCTCCTGAAAAAATGTTAAAGTATTTAAAGAAGATACTTGGGTGATAATAAAAATTGAGCTTTGAAACCTAAACTAACCATGTAAACCATATGGGGCAAACACACGTCGTTCAGTCAAGATGGACAAGGTCATATTTCTTCTGAACTGAAGTTCACGTAAAATGCCATCACCTCCTCTGAATTGTCCCAGTCCTCCAGAATTAGGCCGAAGTCCAAATTTGCGGAGGATTACAGGATATCTTTGCTCCAAGATTTCTGGATCAGTTATCCGTGTGTTGGTCATATGAGTATGAACACCACTTCGCCCATTCCAACCAGGTCCCTAGACAACAGATAATTTTATAATTTTCTAAGAAACCAAGTAGATTTGAAAATTATCAGCCAGGAAATGGAGAACTCACAGCTCCTGCACCTCCACCCACAGTTTCATAGTAACCATAGCCTTCTTCACCAAAAGTGACATTATTCATACAGCCCTGGGATGCGGCACAGACATCAAAGGCCTTAAGAACAACATCAACAATTCGCTGAGATGTAAGGACGTTACCCCCAACTACCGCTGCCGTTTCTGAAGGATCTAGGATTGATCCTTTTGGAATCACAACTTTAATAGGTGCAAGGCAACCCTGCAAAATAATAATAATTAATAAATGACCTTCAGACAGGGCAGGTCACTGAATTTCTAAGAAATGAACCCAACAATTGGGTATTTTGAGGGCTCTGCACTACCATTAGGGTTCCAAAAATATTATTGCTGGTCTACCTTGAAATATTTTGCTCACCTGGTTGAGAGGAACATCATGACCAACCATGCAACGTAAGCAATAAATCAGAGCAGACAGGGTGATAGCTCTGGGAGCATTGCAGTTGCCCCACACTTCATATCCAGAACCCCTGAAACATAATAGTACAGAGAATAGAACTATCTAAAATAAGAAACACTTAAGGATGACAAATAGGGCAGTTAGTATACTTACGTAAAATCACACAGAGCTGAACCTTGCTCTAAATCTATATTCACAGTCAATTTGATGGGCGAACCATCATCCATGCAGTCATATGCAGACAGAACAGTCTTCCCAGTCATTTCCAATGAGCGCTTGCCAATTTCTCTCAGCATGTTGCGAACAGCAACTTCAGCATTACTTTGAATGTACGCCATGTATGCTTGCACCACCACTAACCCATATTGGTCAATAAGCTCATTGACTAGATGAGAGCCCTACAAAATCAATTCATGAGAAATTAAAAATACCAGAAAATAGGCATGTCTGCTATCAGACAGAGCCAAAAGTTGTAGATAGAGACCTTTTGATTGGCAGCAATTTGAGCTCTGAGATCAGACAGATTGTCCTGCAGATTCCGTGTGCCAGAGCTCCCAGGCACGGATCCAGGGGCCATCAATCTCTCTATGAGACGTTGCTCCCGGAATTCTCCATTGCGGACAAGCAAGAAGCTTTTGAAAGTTGCGCCTTCCTCCAGAAGAGACTTTGAGTGTGGAGGCATTGAACCTGGGGTGATGCCACCAATATCAGCGTGGTGTCCACGAGATGCCACAAAGAATATTGCTCGTGGAGAGCCTCTGCAAAATTACAAATTGAACTTGATGTGAGCTTCTGCTGTACTCTTGATTTTGCACATCTAGTAAATAAAAAATACAAACTTTCGAAAAACAGGGGTGATGACAGTGAAGTCGGGGAGATGGGAGCCCCCTGCAGACGGATGGTTGGACAGTATCACATCGCCATCCTGAAGATCACCTCCTCTTCGACGCAACTTGAAACATTTTTCCCCAAAACAGTGTTGTTGTAATATACATTAATATATACTTAGTTTACATTGGTTTGTTGATTTTTCATTAATAAACTAAATTGTTCATTTTAAAAGTTAATTTTTTCTCACCTGATATTGGACAGTTTCCTGCATTGCACCAAGGTGTACTGGAATGTGAGGAGCATTGGACACCAAACCACCATCAGGACCAAACAGAGCACAGGAAAAATCCAAGCGCTCTTTGATGTTAGTGGAAATGGCTGTTCTTTGAAGCACACTGTCAGCAAAAGAATTATCAAGACACTCAAATAGATACGATTGGGTTTGTTCTAATGTACAATCCTGAACTAGAGACTAACCGTCCCATCTGCTCTGCAATACTCATGAAACGGTGAGAAAAAATACTGAGTTGAATTGAGTCTAACTCGGGTCCAACTTGATTGACCATTCCAGTACCAATCGTTATTTCAAGATTGCCTGTTTTTGTCACCACTGCTATGCAATCTGGCTCAACAAGAATGGTACTTAATTTATCCATAATTATAGCAGGGCCACTTATTTTATGGCCTGCCTTTAATCTCTCAAGGTGGTAGACACTTGTTGACATGAAGCCACCACTAAAGTAGACTTGTGTTTCCTGAAGCAAAAAAATGGAACATAAACAGTGAAGCTTTAACAATCCCACTCTCACTCTTTGAAAACTAAAAAAAGCTGCTTGAACAAACCTTCTCAGCCTCAGGTGATGATTCTTCCACATCAATGGGAATCTCTTCAGAAGGGAATGATTTCCCAACCCCTCTCACTCTTATGTCATCCACCACAACATCTCTTCCAGTTAACACAAATCCAAATTCCATTTGGTATCTCTTGAGGAAGGTCTGCATAAAGTCCCCATTAGTGCACAAAGAACTTTTGTCCTTGGCAGCAACAGCTGGACCACACATTAGAGCACAATCAGTTCCGTTGTAACGAAGATGCAGGTAAGGCTCAGTTTCGATTTGATCACTAGTAAAACCTTGCTTTTCCAATTCTTGCTCACAGGTTTTGGTCAAGGCTAAAAGCCTTACATCAATTGATGCAAAATTTTCTGTAAAAGTAGAACATGACAATTGTGGTCAATTTAGCCTAAATAAGTATATTAAAAAAATTACAAGAAACAAATTTACCTGATGTGTACTTTAGGGAACACGGCTCTTGAGCTTCATGGACAACATCCGCAAGAGCCATACCATATGCAGACAAAATACCAGCATATTTGTGGACTCGAACTTTGCTCATTCCGAGAGACCGAGCAATTGCACAAGCATGTTGGCCCCCTGCTCCTCCAAAGCATGCCAAAACATGTCTACTAGTGTCATATCCTTTGGCCTGAGTCAATGCGCGGATGGGACGGCACATAGCTTCATTTGCTACATTTATAAAACCCATAGCAACTTCATTCATTGACATTTTCTTATTTGAGATATCTTCTTGACTTTTTGATAAAAATTGATTCACCTGAAAGAGTATTTACGGTACTATGAAAAAAAAATCCAACACATTACAATGCCACAGTCATTTGAAACGATGCTCATTTACCTCAGAGGATAGTGCTTGAAAGGCTGCAATAGTTTGCTCCCTATCAAGAGGCTGGTCTTCGGTTGGTCCAAAGATCTTTGGGAAATATTCTGGTAACAATCTTCCCAAACACAAGTTTGCATCAGTAACCGTCAGTGGTCCACCTTTGCGGTAGCAAACCGGCCCAGGGTGGGCCCCAGCAGATTCAGGTCCCACTACAAATAGGCCAGAGCGGAAGAAAAGCATTGAGCCCCCACCAGCAGCTACTGTGTTCACATCCAACTGGAAAAAAACAACACAACATTGACCAAACAAATAGTGAAAATTGTAAAATTGACCTCTCTAAGGAAAAATATTACAAAATATATGGTCATCTTTTTCCTTTCATACTTGGGGAGCTTGAACAGTGATGCCAGCTGTGGTTGCTTCAAATACATGCTCATAGTGTCCAGCATATCGACTGACATCAGTGGATGTACCGCCCATGTCAAATCCAATTACAGGTAGCCTTTCTTTGTCAGAGGACCCTTCTAGGTGATACGAAGTGACTGCATACCCAACAACACCTCCAGCGGGTCCAGACAAAATTGCTCTTGATCCAATAAACCTATTTAAAAAAAAAAAAAGATTATATTTTATATAAAACAGCTAAAATTATTATGAAATTGAAAAAAAAAATAATCGTACATATCCATTGGTGTAAGACCTCCATCACTTTGCATGAACAGCACATTCACACCATCTAAGTTATTTTTAAATCCAGCAACAAACCCCTAGGAAAATAATTTTAAAAAAATTATTGCTAGTCCCATAATACAAAATACCCACAAAAAAATGATAATGAAGAATCAAGAAATACCTGCACATATTTCTTGATGTGAGGAGTCAGATAAGCATCAGCACAAGCTGTAAAACCTCTTGACACAATACGAACCATAGGCATAACTTGATGAGAAAGTGATACGTGGCTAAATCCCAATTTTGTGGCTAATTTTCCAATAGCCAGCTCATGATCTTTGTGCCTGGACATAAAATGATATGATTGCTTTCTGGAAGCTAACAGATATTAACAAGTTCAAAATAAAATAAGAAAACATGAAGAATAATCACATGTAAGAGTGCATGAGCACAACAGCCAAGCTAGTGATTCCATTGTCAAGCAGATTTTGAAGCTTTGGCTTGAGAGATTCAAGGTCAGGCTCTTTGGCAACCAAGAGTTTATCTCCTGTTGTGCTTGCTATTCGTGCCCAGCTACGAGACTCCTCTCCGAGTTGACATCGGTCTTCTTGAGCAGGTACCACTCTAGCATCAACTTCAACTACTTCAGAATACAATACCTCTGGCACAGTAATGGACTGGAGAAAAAAAATGAGACATGAAAGCATGAAGGTACAGGAAATTAAACAATTAGAGATTATTTGAAAATAAAGTGAGTACCAGATCAAAGATTTTAGGCCGAGCTTGATTGCCGATATACAAAACGTCTTTGAAACCCTTGGTAATGACCAATGCCATGCGTTCTCCTTTACGCTCCAAAAGAGCATTGGTCGCAACAGTTGTTCCCATCCGTATCCAGTCAATATGGCTTCCATCAACAGGTTCGTTAGCAGGCATTTTTTTCCCAAGCTCCTGTTTAAAAATAATTTTCACCATGAGAAATATTATAGAAAAATGTGTGTCTGCTCGTTTATTTATTTTGATGCAATATAAACCTGTTCCAGTATCCTGCGAATGCCTTCCCTGGGCGCATCTTGGTAGTTGGAGGGATCCACCGACAGCAACTTCATCACTCGAATCTTTCCGCCAGGGCATCTTGCATAGATGTCGGTGAAAGTGCCGCCCCGGTCTATGGCGAATTGAAAGCCTCCTTCTCGACCCATTTCCCACGGACGGATTAATGCACCAATTCAAAGTCTGGAAACACAAACATCACACCAGGGAAATAAATGGGATTGCCACAAAGTGAATGCATATTTTAAAAAGCAGTTAACCTCTGACAAGGCAAATTTAATCGATGTCCGGCAGGACTCTCATGACATGAAGCCACGGAGAAGAAACGAGGGATGACATCACGATAAAAATCGTCGCAGTAGAATACTGTGAAAGGCAATTCACTTTCAAAACAACAACAGCTGATGCGAAGGGGAAGGGGAGGTGGCAGAAGGGGCTTCAGAAAACAACAACCCTAACAACAACAACAACGCACCAGCAGACGACGCGGTGACGCGTTTCTGGGTCGTCTAGTCTGCTCTTGTTGAACTGCAAGAACAGAAAAGAGGACGTACTCAGAGAACGAGTAGTCAAACGTGCCGATCCTCGTGACCTTGTGACTCCTCAGACACCGCTAAAAATAATAATCAATAAATTGTATGTTGGCACCAGTGCGACGCGGGATAATTTGCGCGCCAATTTTCGAACGTGCCGAGTGCAGAGGGAAGTCAGGGGGAGGGAGAGGCCTCCGGTTCGTTTAGTAAGCCCGAGCACAGAAATTCACCCAGGATTCGAAACACGCGTAGAAGAATGAAGAAACTGATTTCGAAACGCCGAGGGGAGAGGGCAACACCTCGCGACGCGAGCGTGTGCCCTCGGTGTTTCCAATTCCAATTATCCCCGTTTACGGGCGTTCACGGTGGCACTGCACAGTGCACCGTACTGGACGGACAGTGGGGAACAGTGAGGAAGGCCCGTCCCCGCGTTCGGAGTCAAGGCCTCGGGACGGCGAGGCAGTGCCAGGGCAGTACTGACAGACAGTGCAGTGACAACGACAACAAAGTCGGCTAGCCCGGCTAGCCGCGAAGCCTTGCGCGAAGCCGCGCCGACGTCCAGACACAAACGCTGACCCGGAACGGGCGGGGTGCGGGTGCACGCCACGCTGCTCGCAGTGCGCGTGGTGCGCGACGCAGGCATCGCCACACTCATTCCGCGGAGCCTTTTCGCCTCTCTGTCGCACTCGCGGGGCGTCCCGTAGGGGTGCGAGAGAGACAGACGCTGCTCTTGGGCATCGTCCGGCAGGCGGGGCAAGATTATGGCCTCGGTGACGTCGCGCCGGGCCAGGGCAATGCACGGCCAGCGCCGTGGGGTGTGTCCGCCGTGTCCGCGGTGCACAGCGGGCCAGAAGACCGGTGGAGGCGGTCAAAATCCCGGACGCGTTCTGAGCTCCAGAGTCGCTAAATAGGACTCGAACCGAACGTGTGACCCCACCAATGAATTCCTCGTTCGGAGAGCATTCTATTGGTGGGGTCACACGTTCGGTTCGAGTCCCATGGGACTAAAATGCATTTAGCGACTCTGGAGCTCAAAACGCTTCTGGAGCTTTGGCCGGCGGCGCCAGTCTTCTGGCAAATCCACTGTGCGGTGGCCGTGCGGAGTGTCGCTGACCTTGCAGGCGGCGGGGGAGGCGCGGTGCGTGCAGCAGAGTCTGGACTCGTCGTCGCGTTGCGTCGCGTGGACAGCGCGGTGCCGCGGACTGGTGGCAGCCCACTGGCGGCGGCAGTGCAGCGACAGCCAAGGAGGCCAGGTCAGGCAAGCCAGAGGAAGGTATAGGAAGGAGGAGGCATTATCTAACGCCCCGCGAGGCCCCCCCCCCCCCGCCCGCCCAGCCGCGCCGGGCCCCGGGGGGCCTCGACCAACAGGCTCATTTCGCACAGAGTTTGGCATCTGTCTCTGTCTCTCTCATACCCACATCGAGCGCCCCACGAGTGCGAGAGAGACAGAGCGCCAGGTGGGCGGCGCGAAACGCCAACGCCGCGGAAAAGAGCAAAGCGAAGTGTCGTTTCGTCGCTCTGTCTCTGTCGCCCTCGAGGGGCTCTCCCTGTGGGTGTGAGAGAGACAGAGCGACGAGCCGCGCTTCTGAATCGCTCGGCTGACGACTGCCTGCGTCAGCCCCAGATCTGGCCGCCCCGCCGGTGCGGGTCTGGCCCGTCGCACCTTGTTGCCAACGAGAGCCGGATCAAACCAGATCTGGCCTGCTGGTTCCGAGAAACCAGATCTGGCTTGTTGCTGACGCCAACGCGCCGACCGAGGCCAGATCTGGCAAACAGCCTGGGCCGGGCTCGTTGAGTGGCTGACGTCAATGGAACCAGATCTGGCTTCCACAGTAAACCAGGGAGACGTGCGGGCCGTCCCGCCATCCCTGCCTAGGGTAGCCACACGAAGAATACCGACTGCTGCCTTCACTGCAAACTCTATTACATTCTGTGCAGTTGTGGTTTTCAGCGTTGGACGCCTGGAGCGCCTGTGAGGTAGGCCACTGACCCGGCACGCAAGACACAGGTGTGGGGACGGTGGCCTACCTCGCCCCTGTCGTCCTCGCAGGGGCGAGGTAGGCCACCGTCTCCACGCAGGAGTGTTGCGGGACGAGAAGCTGGCCTACCTCGCAGGCGATTGCGATTGATGCCTGGACCACAAATGATCGTCTGGCTTTCGGGCCCGCCCGGCCATGTCGGTGATACACCAGCACGTGACGGGGCGTCCCTACTGAGAGGAGTGGTTTTCTCGGTAGACCGGGTACATACGCCCACGCATCTGGCCATGTAGCGGGAGCAGCTTTTGTACCTCGCAGGCGCGCACAGTGGGCAAGAAGATCGGTGGAGGCGGCAAAACTTCAAACGCGTTTTGAGCTCTAGAGTCGCTAAATGGGACTCGAACCGTACGTGTGACCCAACCATTGGATTCCTCGTTCGGAGAGCAATCCATTGGTAGGGTCACACGTACAGTTCAAGTCCCATTTAGCGACTCTGGAGCTCAAAAGAGGTCTGGAGTTTTGGACGCCCACTGTGGGGCGGGTAAGTCAAGGTGAAAGCAACCGCCGCCGCGCACCAGGGGCCTAAACGCGTATAAAAGTGAGGCCCCGGCGTGAGATGTGTCGCTCTAGACACACAGCGCGGCAGGTACGGGAGATAAGGAAGATCGGTACACTCGGTCGACTTGGGTACACTCACCCCACCAATCATGTGGGTACACTCACTTCACCAAACACCGGCGCACTGCACACCGGGGCGTCTTTTAAAAGCGATCGAGTCGCTAGACAGCGAGCGCGCGCACTGCCGGCAGATTACCAATAAGTCCTGGTTTATGGCCACAATTGGCCACAACAGCCCGAGCCGGCCGAGCCTAGAGATAGATAGTCCGAGATAGGCGACCCAACAGCTGGAGCGGGAACTCACTGTACTCACCACGCCGGTGCGACAAGCGCGCTTTTTTCTATCCACCAGTGCTTCTATCAAGCCGCTCCGCCCCTTCTATCCTCCTCTATCCGCGTCCTTAGACGGACTGAGAGTGACCGCGGGCGGCGCGGCAGGCGCGGGCGGGCCAGGCCAGGGCGGCGGGCGGGCCACCGGGCGCGACAGAGCGACTGCATGTCAACCTCGCATGACCGAACAACTTACGCGTCGCGTCGTCGCTCTCCCTTGCGCCCAAGCCCGAAAGAAAACAACAAGAAAAAGACGAAAAACAAAAAGGAAAAAAGGGGCGCGTGGAAATAAAAATGTTGGGGCGGTTGGAAAAACAATGATAAGGCTGCGCCGCTGCTCTGCCGCTGCTCCGTCGCGGCCACCATCACTTAGGACTCGATAAGCGGGGTAATGTAGAAATTGACGCGTTTTCGAGATTAGACACAAAATGAAAGAAATAATGATGAAAAGCGCAAGAGATGGAATGCGACTCATTTTGAGAAAGTCGTTACTCCCTGCTGTGTTCCGGGTATTTTATCTGCGACTGCTGGCGCATGCGGGGGAGGGCCCGGGCAGCCCGCGCAGCCCGCGGCTCCACTCGCGATAAATGCAATTGCTCGTTTCCCCCATTAGTATACAGCGCCAATCTCGACCAACTTTACGATGCAGTTTCCGACAATGATGCGGCCAGGGTTCGCGCCTAATTTCCTACCTTCCACTGTAAATTTGCATACGGTCGTGGAGTTTGGACGCCCCTGCCTGAGAAGTGTAAAGTCCATCTTCTTATCGGGAGAAAAAGTCGGTTAAAAATACTCGAATATGGACAGCCTTTTGTTATTTTTCGCTCGACGGGCATAAATGAACGCAACATTGTTTAAAGGCCCTTACGTGGCACAGTCGGCCAGAAGACCGGTGGAGGCGGCCAAAACTCCAGACGTTTTGAGTTCCACTGTCGCTAAATGGGACTCGAACCGAACGTGTGACCCTATCAATAGATTGCTCTCCGAACGAGGAATCTATTGGTGGGGTCACACATTCGGTTTGAGCCCCATTTAGCAACTCTGGAGCTAGAATTTTGTCCGCCGGCGCCGGTCCTCTGGCCCACTGTGCGTGGCCGGTAGAATATCGAAGTCCCTCCAAGCAAAATGTTTACCTCACTTGGCATCTCACTGAGCAGAGCAGGGACAGCGGCGCACGTGGGCAGGGCAGGTAGGGCAAGTCACCCTCGACTCAAACTTGACCGCGTCGTCGTGCTACTCAAGTTCAAGGCTTCACGGCCGATTCACCGGCGGTGCAGCAGCTATCTGCCCACATCGCCATCTCGTGGATACGTCAGGGACGTCGTCAGGGACGTCAGGGGTGTACGGTGTACTTAATCGGCCACCGACACCGATCCACCGCCAGCGACGAGGGCGGACTTGGGACTTCCCCTCGTTGCCGTCGTGTGGGCGTGGCCCGGAGTGGCCCGGCGTGGCCCGGCGTGGCCCGAGGGTGGGGACAGCTGCAATATCCTATGGATATGGGTGGGTTGCCTCTTTTCTGGCGCTCAAAATGGAAGAGAAAGGTCTATATCATTGAGATCTATTCAATGAGAAGCGGTGCATAATTTAATCAAAAGTACAAGCCTAGAAACTAGCAGTCCATGTATCAGTTTGGTTGACTTTCTTCATCTTCTTCCCTCACAGGCTGAGAGGCTCTACTATATGAATCAGCTGGTGTTGCGTCATCTCTGGTAGCCTTAAGTGATGCCTTCACTAATAGCATATTTTTGGCCGACACGATAAAACCGCGAGGTATTTCTGCAGGTAATCGCTTGATTGTTTTAGTGAACACTTTTAATTCATCGTCATCCATTCCTGAAGCCATTCTGAAATGAGAGATAGAGCGTTATGAAATTAAAAAATACCTTATTCCCTCAAAGAGATTAAATATGAAACAGGTACTTATATAAACTAAGAACTCATCATTACCTGCAAAAATCTGCATAAATTCGATAGTCTGACTGGGAACTGTTAAGCAACGATGTAAGCAAAACCTGAAACAGGAAGGTTCGTGAAATACACAGTGGAACACACAACTTCTTCTCATTTCCATACACTTACTTTGCTGCAGAGAACTCTTGTGTTATTGCTAAATTCTTCCAGCATGCACATGTTAAGCTGATGAACACTCTTCCAGTCGTGTCGTAGAAGAGCTTGTCTTATTTCAAGCATTAGAATTTTCATCGAGACACCAGACACCACCCGTTTCAAAGACATTCGTGACTCTGGTCCGTGATTTTGGCATGTCGTTCGTCTCTTGGCCAGTTTATGTCCCTCAATTAGATCTATGGCCTTGTTCTGTCGAAAAGAAACATACGATGAGTAGATGAGATGGGTCCCCTTGGATGTGTCACCGAACCATGGTACCCGCAGCACAAGACATACCCAGGATTTCCGTTGAACACGGGCGACAGTTTCCCAATTTCTGTAGAACTGAGAACCGAGAACTGTACCCGCACTGCCATCCCCCAGTGTTTTCGGAGCCTTGCCCATCCTTTTCAGTTTTCGCCTGGAACAAAGTTACGGTGACAGCCGCAGAAAACCAAACAAACAAACACGTTACTGCTTTGGTTATGTTTCTGCAATCGATAGTTCAGGATCGACTCGTGTTCGAGATATTTTAGCGCACTCCGAATTTCTCATAAAGAGAAAATCACGAGATCCAAAAAAGCAGAACGTTTTATTTTTACAGAGGGCGTTCGACCTTCTCATCAAAGTACCTCGCTCTTCGCAGTTTCCATCCAAACCTGCAAACGCCCTGGGAAATTAATCGGTGAGTTTTAACGCGACATTCTTCGGACAGAAATTTCATTTGCGAACACCCAGTTGCCTTCGTTTGCTAAATCCTTCGCGGCCGTCCCTTCCTGCGCACATTCTCTAGTGGCTCTCCGACCACTTTGAGGTCGGCAGCAGTCGAAATCTCCATTTCAAGGTAGTAGGTGTTAAAACATTGAAACGGCTCGTTTTGGGCGACGTTTTCTCTTCTGCGTGTTGAGACATTTGGCCCTATTCTCATGTTCATCTTTGCACTTGTAGCTGACGTTGTCTTCTGTGTGGTACTGACATTTTATCTACTGCTTTCGCTGGGTCGATTTTGCACATTCTTTGATCTCTCTTTAGTTGATGTTGACGTCTGCATTGATGTCTCCCGTCTTGTCCTTTGTCTATGTCTAGCAATCATTCTAACAAACTCCTCAAATTAATCGCACTGGAGTGTAACTTCTTGGTTATTTCTTTGCCCTCCTCTGCCAAGTGTACTAACCTCACTTTTGTCTTCATTAAGGCTTCTGTACTCAGCTGAGTGTTGTTCAGCTAATCTGTAAATTTTCCAGTGACTAGCCTTTATTTTTTTGAGAGATTTTAAAAAAAAATGTTGTCACTTATTACAGGTGAAGATGGCTCTAACCATGAGAAACAAGCTGCCTCGGATGGCGTCATGCCTCTCTCGTCAAATGTCTCATGGTCCCATCTACTACCATGACCAGAAGGAGCTTGCTGGCACCCGGGAGCACGTAGGTCATGGCAAAAATGGCATGTACAACTATTATGATGGTCATGAGTTGCCATTCCCAGCCATTCGTTTCATGCCTGAGGATCAGCAGAGCAAGGTAATGCCTTTTTTCCAAAGAACTACTGTGGAACCCTCGTGTCTATTTCGGGGTCTGCTACAGCTCAGACAATTGTCCATCAGTTTTGGCTCAACTCAATTAATTATTGTATTTTTGGAGTGGATTTTTGAAAAAAAAATTACTGTGTGGGAGAGAACTTCATCCTAAATTGCAAATTGGTTTAATGTTGAATTTCTTGTCAGGCACTGCGGGAGAAGGAAAAGGGTGATTGGAAGAAGCTTTCAATTGAGGAGAAAAAGGCTCTGTACCGACACAGCTTCTGCCAGACCTTCGCAGAGTTCCAGGCTCCTGATCCAGAGTGGAAGGCCGTTTTGGGTTACTCGCTGATTGGAATTGGTCTGGCTTGGGGAATGTACCTTGGCTTTTCTAACATCAGTGAGTTAATTTTTTTTCTAACTACAGTCCTTTTTCAAAGATGCTTGTCAGAATTCCTAATATCATTTCCTTTATTTACAGTGCCACAGCACCCCTACCGTGAATTCTATGACTCCCACGAAGTGAGAACAGCATCTGTCCAGAGGAGGCTTGACCAGGGCGTCTTCAGGACCATGGGCTTCGCACCTGAGTGGGATCTTGAGAACCGCGGCTGGAAGAAGTAATGTGTTGCTTGGCTAGCAATTTTAGACAAATTGTAATTGTACATGTCTTTAAATCAATTATTGTAAAGGCGCCGCCTCAACCTAGCTTTTATGACTATTTGTTTGCAAGACAGGTGAAACATTTGCTTCAGGAAACATTGTTTTAAATTAATTTTGGATTTGTAAATAACGTCTATCAAGCAATAAACAGGGATTGAAACAAGGATGAATTTGTGTTCTGGCAATCATTTGTTTACTTCACTTATGGTGAGAGGTGTGGTGTCATTTGTGTAAAATGTAAGCATTTAGCTCATGCAAGTTTCAGCTGAGACCTATTTAATTTAATGTGCCTACTGCTCATTCATGAACTAACGTTTTAAGTTGATGTAAAATGGTGGTATTGGACAAAAAAAATCATTAATGAGTTGAAGTGCAACATGTCCCAGCAGAAATCTCTGCAATTCAACAAAATGTTTAAAAATGGTTAAACTTAGCTGTCAATGCACAGTGAAAAAGACATGATAATCAACAAAAATTAAAAAGATAAATGGGTAAATAAAATTTTATTAATCAATTACAGAATAAAAGGAATACAGGGTGCAATGATTCGGCAAGTCCTAACAAGTTCATACAACAAATTAAAAATTAAGCAATATTCAGAGCAATTTTGTATTACAATCTTACCCACACAGATTGGAGTGAGTATTAAGAATCAAGGTACTCAATACCTGCTTAAGCAATTTGGACATTAGCACCATCTAAGTAAGATTTTAAATGTGCTCTGCAAGTATCAGTGAGACCTGATGCAAGAAGAGGATTCAGCCTGCCTGGGTAAGAGACTGATAGCTTGCTTAGATTCTGAGCTAGATTTAATCTTGCATCCCCTACACCTAGAAGGCCCAAACAGAAAATTAAGCAACATACAAAAGAACACTGTATATGTATAAATAAAAAAAGACAAATGGGAAAAGAATAACTTACCATGCAATGGATCATGTTCTTGTTTATTTGCAAAGTTAAGCTGTGAATAAGCCACAGAGTAGCCAGGGGTATCATCTACTTCAATAAAATGGTCATCGGGATGGGTTGAATCATCCTTGGGCAGCTCAAACAGTCCTATCAAAGCTTGTAATAAAGGAGACCTGCAATGAGATAAGAAGTTATTTTGAATTACAAGACTAAATTATTATGCGATTTATGATAATATATGTATCAGAGACTCACCAGAGCCTAGCATAGTGGCCATCAACCATTTGAGGACATTCACACAGAATTTTGGTTACCCCAACCGCGGTTATCTTGCGTTCCACTGTTCCACTGATTTTCTGCATGTCAACAATCATGAGCTTTTCAAGTACCATTCCAAACATTCTAAAAGGGAAAGAAGATAATAAAGCACAAATAATTTACCTTAAAGTAGACAGTTGGATTAAGACTAAATTTAAAACAAACTTACTGTGGTTGGATTCCGTCAATCATTTCAATTAAATTGGCAGCACCGTATTTGACAGCATAAAAGCACATAAATACTAAAAGCCCCTTCACAAATTTGGTTGTCTTGCTAGACTGAAGACGTTGGAACAACAACAAGAACACCTGACGAAGGTATGAAGAAACTGCTTCCCTGGGCACAAAATGAGGATTGACAACAGGTAGGTAAGTACAAGCACCAAATCTCTAACCATAACAAGTTTAATTTTTAACTTACGTTGGTAGATGTTCTATGAGAGACTGAATGAGATAAAATCCTTCATGGTCATTTGCTTTTGAAGCTACTAATTTTTGGAATACACCCAGCAATCCAGTCTGTTGAAGGAAACTATCATTAGGGAATATGAAAATGATTTAAACTGCATTGGAACAGACAACAACTAACAATTTTCTGAGACTCAGCTATTTGAGCAGCTCCTTTGTGGATGAATGCTCGCAGCAGGCGGACCAAAGGATGGATGTTGCCGGGTCTATCCCACAACACAGGTACCAACAAGCAAGGGAAGAGGACCATGTATGGCTCTGGGATGGTTCCACTCTCATGAAGTTCAAGGAGAAGAGACAGCAGTTGGAATACATATGGGATGAATTCTTTAATCAAATGAAATGAATACTTAGTATAAGAACAGAAGAGATTAAAAAATCAAAAGTTTTAAGAGACCAACCTTGAACATCTTGTGAAAGAATGCCCTGGAAGATAGGGAACAATGCTTCTTCAAATGACGCCACTGCTGCAGGGGTTGACTTGCACACAATCCTAAAGAAATGTATAAAAGTAGTATGGTAGCACACATGGATCCCAAGTACAGGTGACAACAAAATACATTTCAAATTACCTTATTGAGAGACCAATGGTTTCAAATAAATAGTGATTGAAGTGAGGCTTGCTTGGATTTCTTGCCACTAATGCCAACTTTTCAGTCAGTTTGGGAAGAAGTTCGGCAAGGTATGGTATAACATTTTCTTGAAGAGATGAAAAACTGCGCATAATAGCTATGGGGGAAAACAGAAATTTTAATACATAATTTTTAATTGGTACACCACTTTAACGTAATGAAGAATAACATACCCTTCATGACGTACTCATTTTCAGAGGAACCTGGCAGACACAGTGCTGAGAACAAGGAACTCAACAAGATGCTAGCCAGCTGGGCTACCTCCTCCTTTTTAACACTAAACCAAAAACAAAATATTTCAGACCAAATTAATGTATATGATAAGGTAAAAATTCTTCCTTAGAAAGATAACACTTACAGAGGTTGGTGATCAAGGCCACGAATAGCCAAAATTTTCTCAATAGCAGCAGCTGCATAAGTGTGAACAACCGCACTTGAAGCTGAGAGATGACTGATCAGTTTGGGGAAAGAACCAACAACAACTTCACGAGGAAGCACAGTCCTGAATATCATGATGTATTTGATAGCATCTGCTCTGATTACTGGTAGGGCATTGACTGAAAGAAGAGGGAACAAAACATTAGGCAGGACAACCACATTGGCAGGGTTGAAATAATGACAGAATGTAAGAAGCAGAAATACAAACCATCAGGCTTTTCAAGTTCTGGGATAATGTGTTGGGAACAGAAATCTGTAAGGTTGACAAGCTGACTGGACTGAGTTACACCATGTTTTTCTGTCTGCCCCTTGGCAGCCAGTGAAGTTACAAGGTACAGAGCTGCATCTTTGCTGCGCCAGTTTTGACCGGGGTTTTCAGAGTACTTCTGCAGCATTGCCTACAAGAAAAATGTAAAGGTCAGTTTAGAAGCTGCACAGATGAAAATAAATGAGATACAGATTTATGATTACATACTTGAACATATTGACCAAATATCTGCATCATTTTCTCCTCAAAGTAACGAGAAAGTACTTTTACAAGATCACATGCTGCTCTACGACGAGTATCCACATCAGATCCCTCAATGTCTCGTCTGATGTACTCCTCTGGATTATCTTCAAAGAGTTCCTCATCAGATGCTGTCAGGAAAAGTACCAAGATAAATGTCACACATTAGATCCTAGATATAAACTCTAATACGATCCAAATAGTCTGCACCAATACTAACTTCTAAACTCCATGTTGGGAATGATGACTTTTTCACAGATACTGCTCAGTACCGCTGGATCCTCAAATAGGTGTCTGTAGTGAGATCTATCAGCTACAGTAGCCAAAAATTGTAAAGAATTGCTAACCAACTAAAAAACAAATACAAAACACTATTATTGACTTCTCTGCAAGGTGGTGTACCCAGTCATGATTGAGTGAACTTACCGAATCATACTTGGCAAGATGACTGGTACTGGTCAATAAATTCCAAACATCAGTGACAAAGGTTGGAAGGTACGCCTGGAATTCCTCATCATATTTCTGAGCATAAAGCCCAGCATTATCACAAATCTGAGATCTTATTTGTTCCAGGAGACCAGCTTCATCATCATCCTTCAATGAAAGAGACAAGTTATAAAAGAGGACAAAAGGAAAATCATAAAAAAAAGTTCAAATGAATGTTGGCCAACCTCGGTACGCAAACATGGTACATCAGTAGTAAGAAGTGAATGGAAATTCGTCATCCAAATTTCCATGTTGTCTTCAAAAAATTCTGGTATGTCCTTTGAAAATGAGAAAAGATAAAAATATAGAAAGTGACTAAATTAGGGGCAATTTCTCTTTTACCATAATGTAACAATTCACTTACTTGGAAGTTGAGAGAGTAAAAGACTTTACTAATAGTTAACAAAGAACTGTAGACCACCTTCAGAGCATCCTTATTGTTTGCATGTACAGTTGTGAGGTTCATAGTAGCCTGTATTTGAACAGAAAAATACATGTAAGTGGGAAAACATACAGAAAAAAAACACATTACTAGCATTTTATATACCACAAATAAATCTGTCAGCGGCTTGGCAAAATTGTCCAGCACTAATTTAATCTCAGTCCAAAGTGCCTGGGATTTGAATTCATAACGATACCTCTTGAAAATGGAATGAGCCGTGTGTAGCACTCCATTAATTACGTAAAAATCTCCTAGGAATCAATAAATAAATTTAATAGAACTTGAAATCAGGAAACCTATCCCAGTTCTAGAAAATACTTCTGTACTGACCTGTCTGGAACTTGTCAACCATCTGTGTGATAAGGTTTGGCCATTTGGTAGGAAAGTCATATTTTCCAATAATGGACACAGCATCACTTAGCTGCTTCTGAATTGATTCTGGTGACATTACCATGATATTTACTATATTTTCTTTGATAGCCAGCCTATCATTAGATGAAATTCTGTCCTTAGCATCTTCATCCTAAAAAACAATTAAACCATACATAATTTGATGCAGTATTAAATGATTTAAGCAATCAGGATGGACTTAAATTCACTTACCGTGTTCCAATTGCGTTTGATGTAGTTTTTAAAAGTAATAGCACAGGCAACTCGAATAGTCATTTCAACATTATCTCTTGTGAGAAGCTTCAAAAGAAGCATAGGATAATTTTCATTTACCTCCACTGATTCGAGGAAAGACTCGGCTAAAATCAAACAAGGCCCATTAGAAAACTGACAGACAACAGTAAGAAGCCATTACACCTAACATGCATGAAATTAAGGACATAACAATTTACCTGGTTTACGGACATTGACGTCAGGATTCAAGGTATCATAAAGATACTTTTGCAAAGAAGCAAAGTTCTGCTCACTGAGCTCCATCTTCTAAAAGGGTACACATGAATGAATTAGGCACAGAGGCACAGTGAATGCTTTGACGAACTGTAGGCTATTAAAACACACGCTGTAGACCTGACGCAATAATTAGAACGAATCTAATGGCAAAAGTAACACCAGAGCACCGAAACAGAAAATCTGCGAGTTGTAAAATGAAATATTGACACTGTCACATTGAAAACGCGAAGCCGTCCTGGACGAAAACTTAGGTTAGAATCTACCGGTTGGCGTTCCAGAGGGAACCAAGACGACACACCTGTTTGGGAAGGGCGAACACGAGTCAGAGAGGCAAATCTCGCAAGGAAGAGTATCGCCAGAGAAGAAGCTGCGCGCCTGTCACACTGCACAACAGGGTAAATCTGACAGAAAGTAATTCGACTAAAGCAGTGCGATGCTTTGTCGCTCGCTTTGTCTTTTGTCACAGCCTTCAAACGGGGGAAGGGCGCGAAACTCCACTTGAGGTAGGTCATCAACGCCAACATGACAAAGTTAAAATTGAAGTTCCCTTGCATGTAGCAAGATGCAACGGACGATATTCGTGTCGCAGTCTTTTTCTGTTCATTCAATAGGTATTAAATAATCCATGCACATCGTTTAAAGATGGTTGCTTTGCTTCCAGCATCTTCACTTATGCCTCCGCACAAGTCGCGTTTTGACACGGTGTTCCCGCGAACGGTGCAGCCGAGTTTGAAACGTAACGGTGGTTCGTTCGTCGACCACGCTCCAAGTTGCAGATGTCCAACAAGTTATAAAGTGTTCCATACTGATTCGTGTCATAGCTCTGTCCTTGTCGGACGCGTCGCACGCCAATGAGTGCGAGAGAGAAGGAGGCGTGCGTGTGTGGACGAAAGCTGCTTGACGGCGAAGGCGGCGAAGGCGGCGAAGGCGGCGAAGGCGCGGGGGCATCCCCGAAGACATCGAGGCCAAGCAACGACTTTTGCGACGGCGACATCGCCTACCCCCCGAACGCGTCTCTGGATCCGCCCTTGCGTTGCTCTCTTTCTGATCCACCGTCGGCGTCCTTTCTCTCTCGCACCTCACGGGGCGTCGCGTAGTGGTTTCTCTAGTAGGGGCGCGAGAGAGACAGAGCGACGGAGCGATCCTCCGGACGCGTCCGTCCACCTAAACTAATCTTCTGTTCGAGGACGGTCCCGGCGAGTACGTGCGTCGAACGCCCAAGCCGGCCAAGCGCAATGCGTAATGGGCCATTAGCATAATTTTGGGCCCTCTGTCGAGTCCGCCCTGCAGGCCTGCACTGCAGTGCATGCACGCCCTGTGGCCTGAGGGCCGGCGGGCCCGCAGCGGGCCCCGCGGGGGGCAAATAGAAGGGCCACTGACTGATTCAGGCCTGAGGGCGGAGGGTCGGTTGGGCCGCTGTCTCTCTCGCACCCCTCGAGGCCCCGCGAGTACGAGAGAGAGAGAGAGACAGCGCGACGACGCGAAGCGCTGTTTCGGGAGCAGCCTTCAGGCAACGGCGTCGGCGTAATAGATTTTGGACGCGTCTGCGATTTCATTTTCATTAACGTTACAGCGTGTTAATGACCGTCCTTGATGCAAAGCAAAGGGCTCGTCCATCATTTTCGTGCCACCTGGCATCAGCCGCATCAGCCTGTGGGTGCCTCGCCTCTCTCTGGGCCCCAGTCTGGGCGGCAGGCTTTGCGTGGCAGCACCGCGGCGACCGCGACACAGTGGATTTGCCAGAAGACCGGTGGAGGCGGCCGAAATCCTGTGCGTGGTTACCTCTGGCTACTATCAACGGTTCTTACCAAGCGCACAAGCGATATAAAATAATTTTTCTGGCCGTGCACCGGACAACACACGCACCTTTTGCTTCGCCCGCATTCCTCGTGTGAAACGTATGAAAACATCAAAATACGTGGTAATCCGTCGCATTGTGATTTGGCCGAGGAAGCAGCGAAGCCCTCTCCGCGGGGGATTCCAATTACCATCCTTTCCCGAGGGCCTTACGGTGTACCGTCGGCTGGCCGTCGGCGTACTTCCTCCCCCACCGCGTCTTCCCCCTTTCCCCGTCATCCGGAACAAATGGCCAGCATGGCCGGCATGGCGAGCAAACGCCAGAAAACAGTTTGCCATCACACGCGTATGTAGTGCCTAATTGCACTGGTGGCGGGGCGGGGCGGGGCAGGCGTGGCGTGTTCGCACGCGCGTTTGTCTGCCCGATTTTTCATAGCGATATGAGCGATTCTTGTTCCCGTGCGCATCATCATTAACGAACCGCGCGGGCCCCTCGGCCGCCCAAATCGACCGACATTGTTGTGTTTATATTAAATAATGTGAACCAAAAATTTAAAATTATAGAGAGGTCGGCGGGTATCGAACCCGACCCGAGACTCTTGGCGCGGTTCCCGGTTCCCCCCGCGGCACTGCTGCCAACTGCTGTTGCCCTTTTCTTTTCTTCCCGCGCGTAATTCCCGCTTTTCCCGCCGCGCTGAAGACTGAGCCGTTTGCGCCTCACTGTCTCTCTCGCACCTGCGCGGGTCGCCCTGTGAGTGGGAGAGAGACAGAGAGTCTGCTGCAAGTGTGCCCGAAGGAGGCGCAGCGAATAGGGCGGGGCGGGGCACCTATGGGCCCCATGGGGGGTAGCGTGGCCGGGCAGCCCCGGGCCGCAGGGGCCGCAGGGGCCGCAGGGGCCGATCTGCATACCAGATGGGTGGTTAGCACGGCGGCACGGTCGACATGCTGGTGCACTAGCGCTTGCTGGCTTGCTGCGTGCGATTGCCTTGCCCAGCATTACCGTGGGGCGTAAACGTATGCCGAGGCGCGCGGGGCGGGGCGGGGCGGGGCGGGGTGGACAACGCGTCGCCATTCATCTCGCCGGCGCGAACGCCCCGCCCCACCCCGCCTTCAACCCTTTGCTGTACAGTGCGCGATTGCCGCGATTCCCGCCCGAGCACCCTTGACGCGCAGCTCACGCGTGTTGGATGGGTTGCCTGCCCGGCCGGCGTTCGCAGCCACCCTGCCGCCGCCGCCTCCTCCGTCGCTGCCGAAGTAGGGCTCTCGAACTCACGTGTAGTACGAAATTTCCGGAAACCGCCACTGTGAAACAAAACAATCGACCCCGTGCAAGCAACCAAATGGTGAACATTTGTCCCGCAGGCGTATTTTCCACATTCCTGCGTGTCCCGGCGCCGCGCTCAGCCCAAAGGCCTGACGGCGTGGGTGGGAAGTGTGGAGGCGCCGAGAGCGACGACTCCCGAAGCTGTGTGTCCTTCTGACGAGCCTGAGGGGTCCGAGGGGCGTCTCGAGACTGCGGCGGGCCCTTCAAGGGCCCAACTGTGTGGCCGCGGCCCCAGCCAGCAGCGCCAGCAGCCACACTCGGGACGGGGGACCGTAGGGGACCGGGACTCGGTCGTTGGATATGGAAAGTGAGATGGGACCCACCAGCGAGAGTCGAACCCGGGGCTCGACGGCTTAACCGCAGCAATTAGTAGAGAGTTGGCGGTACACTGTGTGTATGCGCCCCTGCCTCCCATGGCCTGGCCGGCCTGCTCGGCGCTAGCTCGGCGCCGCCTTGCCACCACCCTCCCGCCAGCAGACTGATTCCGAGAGTCGCTCTGTCTCTCTCGCTCCTAAAAGGGGCTCCCCATGAGACCGAGAGAGACAGAGCGACGAAAACGCGGAAAACGACCCTCGGAATCAGTGGGCTGCTTCAGGAGCTTCGGCAGCGTATCTCGTTTTTCGTATCGGTGGGGCCGTATCTGTCATTTGTCGAAGCTCCTTATTCCCATCGGTGGTGGTGGTTGTTGTTGTTGTTAATGATGATGGATTTAATTGGAGAGGTTGCCCTGTCCGGGTTGACGTTTGGCTGGCTGGGCGTTCAAGCGATATTGTGACAAACGACGACCGAGCTCGACGGTCATCCATCGGGACGCTTTGCAGGAGGTCCATAGCCGGCCATGGCGGTGCAGTCAAAACCAATTTTAATTGAAAGGATAAATTGCGGCGGGTTTTATCACAATCGGTCTGGACGGGGATTTCCTGCGCGGGTCAGTGAGATCCATCCACGTTTTGACGACTGTTTGAGAACCACGTACCCCACAGCCAACCAAACTTGCAACTCGTCGCTGCATCAGCAGGTGTCATTATTTTCTTCTTCAATAAATCCAACGGTGGATCTGGAACAAAATGAGCTCTGTTTTCGGAGCGAGGAATGACCAGTGGAGGAGTGAGGCTGATAGTCGGCCGACCAATGACGAAGCCGATCTGGTTGGTCACGTGTGAGTCACGGTCCCAGAAACGGACTGTCGTATTCTTCTTCCGCCTCACTTCGGTTTTAAAAGACGCCATTTTAAAATGCATTTCATGTTGGCATTCACCGCAAGCCAAGTAACTTTCCTACTTTTGATTTCCCTTGATTCTTTGTTCCGGCTTGTCCCATTTGACTCCGTTGCGTTCCGTCCCCGCTTACACGCGGTCCCCGGACTCGACAATACCGCACGGGGAGGCCTGGCTGGCCTGGGCGCGTCGCCGCTGCAACGTCTTCGACTTTTCTGCAGAAAAGTCGATGTTCTGGCAGCGACGGGTTGGCTTTTGGGAGCCGGCGGCACGGCGCGGCACGGCACGGCCACCTCCATGGACTCTGCGTGGCACGGCATGGCACGGCGTGGCACGGCGTGGCACGTCAGCCGAACCGAACCGGAGCACCGTGCGGAGTGGCGAGCCTGGCCGAGCCTGCCGTGGCCTCGCAGGTGCGCTGGCAGGTAGTTGGAATGAGAGGGGGGAGGGGGAGGGCGGGGGTGGACTATCTATTGATAGACGGGAAGTCTCCGGCCTCCGTCGTGACCGCTTTCAGTCCAAGGAACCTTTTAAAAAAAGTAAGTGAAACGGACAAAAAATAAAACAATCAATAATGAAGTCATGGACACCGCACGGGACGGACGAAGTGCAACATTGCAGTGGTAGAAAATAAATCGGTATCCATCCACTGGCTGCCCGGTGCCTTTGGCTTATCGTATCTGACACGAAGTGCAAACGAGCGACCAACTAAAAACAACCGATCGAATTAGAGCTATTGCTGACGGCGGAAAAGGGTGGAAAAGGTGTCTGTGAATCAAATGGCGTGGCCTTTTTTTTTCTCTCGTGGAGCGCGAGACGATACTAAAAATAGGGCCGTTTTCTTATTACCGTGTTGTAAATCAGTCGAGTCGAAAACGGTTCCCTGGCTGGCCGCCGCGTCGCCGCGTCGCCGCGTCGCCCAGTCGTCGGGGACGTCGACCAAGGCATGCCAACTTCCAACTTGTCCGAGACTGTCGAAGACTTGTCGAAGCGCGTCCCCCGTTGACAGCGGCCGTGGCGTCCGTCGACGGCAGATTATCCAAACTGAACACGACGGCTGTTTTGACTGCTGCAGCGGTTTTTACTCTCTTGCATCTTACACTCACCTATTTTCCGATCGCGAGGTTAGATTTTCTTCGCCCAGTGTACTGTGTATATACGCGTGCTGGCAGACGATAGCCGAGATGCAATACCTGTACTCTCGCTTTGAACTGCATATTGGGGGGGGGGGGGGGAGTTGAACAGCAGGGCGGAGTAGGCGTTGTAAATCACCGAGGAGGGGACATTGACGGGGCTGTCGGACCATTATTGCGCGTAGTCTACCTGGAGGGGGAAGACGGGAAAGGCGTAGGCCTGTAGGCCCTCTCGGGCGTTCAGGTCTCCTGAGTCTCCTTCGCCTTCCCTCGTCCTTCCCTATTTCAGGGCGACGTCAGAGCAGATGCGTGATGTGTGCGGTGCAGTATGGATAGCGAATAGATGCACGACCGTGGCCAAAGAACCCTCCTCCCCTCTCCCCTCATTTTGGCAATCCTCACTGCCGCTCCGGTGCACACATCCCACGCAACCCACCCACACATTCGCACGCACTCACACACACACACACACACACACACACACACACACTCACACACATTTTTCGAGATGACAGCCGTCAGCTTGATCCGATGGATGATGGATATGGAAGCCCGCACGCGAAATAAAATAAAACACCCTTCCACCGTTATTGTCTGCGTTCTATCGTTGCCTGATAATGCACGCCGCGCTCAAATCAGATTTCCCTCCTGATCGCGGGTCCTACCTGCCCACCCCCACCCCACCCCAACGCCAGACCCTTACGTGCACCGCTGGGCTACGCTGGGCTACCCACAGAGCTACCTGGTAAGTACCCGGTGCGCCCTCTCCGCCCCCAGCCTATCTACCTCGGGTCTTCATCGCGTTTAGTTTGGCCCATAAAACTGTGAGTGTGTGTGTGTGTGTGTGTGTGTGTGTGATGTGAGAGTGGGGGAAATTACAAGCGACGGGGAAGGAAAAGGGTATTCATCCACACCCCTATGATTGCACCGAGAAGGTGTATTTTCAGCCGCTTCGCCCGGCGGCTTCGCGCCAGCTTCGCGCGTGAAAACAATAACTCTAGTAGAACTAAACCGGCACTGACCCCGCCTGCACATACCCCTTGCACAAAGGACGTCCGGCGTGCGTGGCTTTGAGAGTCACTGAGGCGCGGGGTCTCTCCCCCAACGATTTGATTCAACGGCGACTTTTCGTTCGAGTGAAGGGCGCGGACTGGCCTGCGGAGCCTGCGGTGGCATGCAACAGCAGTGCTTCCATCGCTCTGTCTCTCTCGCACCCCTACGGGCAGCCCCGAAAGTGCGAGGGAGACAGGGCGGGCGCAGGACAGTGCCCCGAGGACACCGAGGACACGCACGCAGTGTGGAGCAGCACGCTGCAGCACACTGGGCCGGGCCATGGCCGGGCGGGGCCGGGGCCGAGCGCAGGGCGTCCAGGGCGATGGGCAGACAGGTCCAAAACACGGCCAACGCCCCACTGCCCCTCGCCGCGCCACGCCGCCACGGCCGCGCTCTGAGCTGCCGGACAAGGCCCGGCCCGGCAGGCCCGGCAGGCAGGACAGGCAGGACAGGCTGCCCTGCGAGCCGGCCGGCCCGCTGCCAAGCCTGCTGCCTGCGGGCTGCGGCACGCTGCGGCTTGCGGACTGGGCTGAGGACGCGACGCCATCTTGAATACCAATCCTCCCTAGCTAGATTCCCATCCCAACCTGGCCTGCGCAGCCTGCGCCAGGGCCCCCGGGCTCCGAGTGTGTGTGTGAGTGCGAGTGTGTGTGTTACGGACAAGAAAGGGAGCAGTGGAGTACTGACCGACCCTCCCCGGGAACGGCGCCTCGCACCGCCCGTGCCGCGTCGCCGCGTTTTGCCGGCCTTCGAAGGGAAGCACTGGACTGCGTCCTCGGCCACGGCCTCAACCACAACCTCGGAGGCTGGGCGGCGGCGCTGTGGCGGAAGGGGCCGACGACGTCCTCCAGTGTCGCGACGTCGACGGCGGAGTCAGGGAACGTGCCGCGGTGCGCCGCGCGCGGGGAGCACCTGTGTGTTCCAGACGCCGACCGCCACGCCGGCCGACCGACCGGCCTCGCTGGGCTGTCTCCGAAGCGCGGCGCGCACCGCGCGTCTCTGTCGCACCCACGCCCTGCTCCGCTCCGCGGCCCGGCGGCCGTCCCCGAAGGAACACCCGAACGGCCCGAACGGCCCGAACGGCCCGAAGCCGAGTCGGAGCCGAATAGGGTAGGGGCGACGTACGACAGACCGGGCTGGCCGGACAGGCAGGGCTGGCAGCCCGAGCCGTAGGCGGACGGTGGACGCACAGGTGGGGTGGGGGCTCCGGGGCCCTCTCCCCCACGCCCCGCACCCGCCCGGAGCCGAGGGAGGAGGCGGGGGGCGCGGAGGGAGGAAAGGAAGCTCCAGTCAGTGAGTGCCGGGACGGGACGCGAGCAGGCTCGTACGCGAAAGAAGGCCGGGGCACCGCGTCGTGCCGAAGTGTACCGAATCGAATCGAATCGATTCTGAGCCCCGTGCAAACGAGTGTAAAGTGCAAAGTGGATACTACCAGTGGATACTTCTCAAGGATACGTGCAGTGCAGTGTGTGTAGTGATGTGGTGTAGAGTAGTCATGGTGCTGTAGTGCCTCCAGAGGCCATGCGCGCCATGCGCACGCACGCCGTGCAGGCCCTCCAGGCCGTGTGCGCGCTGCTGCTGTGCGCGGCCGTGCTGGCCGTGCGGGCCGTGCACCCGCCAGGGCCATGGCCGCCGGGTCCTGGCCCCGGGCCCGACCAGATGCAGTCGCGGGCCGTGGAGACGCGCGTCCAGCTCGACATCCTGGAAGGCCAGCCCCGGGGGACGGTGGTCGGCGCCATCCCAACCAAGCCCGGCTTCACGTACCGCTTCAACGAGCCGCCCAGGCAATTCACACTCAACTCCACCACGGGCGAGATCCGGACCACCACCGTCCTGGACAGGGAGTCGTTGCGCAACGAGCGCTACGACCTGGTGGTGCTGTCCTCCCAGCCCACCTACCCCATCGAGGTCCGCATCGTGGTGGTGGACATCAACGACAACAGCCCCGAGTTCCCGGAGTCCTCCATCGCCGTCAGCTTCTCGGAGAGCGCGGTGGCGGGCACGCGGCTGCTGCTGGACGCGGCGTCCGACCGCGACCAGGGCGTCAACGGCGTCTCCAACGACTACGAGATCGTGGACGGCAACGTGGATGACAAATTGAGGCTGGAGGTGACAGACAACCCGGCCGGCGGCGCGTACCTCCACCTGGAGACGACGGGGAAGCTGGACCGCGAGACGCGCGCCCACTACCGCCTCAACATCTCCGCCAGGGACGGCGGCACGCCGCCCAGGCACGGCTACCTGCAGGTCAACGTCACCATCCTGGACGTCAACGACAACCCGCCCATCTTCGACCACTCGGACTACACCGTCTCCCTCAACGAGTCCGTCACGCCGGGCACGGCCGTGCTGCAGGTGACGGCCACTGACTCGGACGACGGCGACAACGCCAAGATCACGTACTACCTGTCCGACGCGGAGCGGCAGTTCGCCGTGGACCCGGAGACGGGGGTCATCACGACGACGGAGGCGCTGGACTGCCCCCGGCAGCAGAGCTGCCCGCAGGCCGACGCCGGCCCCGACGGCCAGGTGGCGGCCCAGGTGCCGCCCCGGCGCGGTGGCTGCCCCAAGTCGTGTGTGTTCACCGTGTTCGCCAGGGACCACGGCAGCCCTCGACAGGACGGCCGCACCTACGTCACCGTCAGCCTGGTGGACGCCAACGACCACGACCCCACCATCCGCTTCCGCTACTTCCCCGCCACGGCCACGTTCGCCACGGTGGACGAGAACGCCGCCAACGGCTCCGTGGTGGCGGCCATCTCCGTGGTGGACCAGGACGAGGGCCCCAACGGCGCCACCACGGTGGCCATCGCCGCCGGCAACGAGCTCAACCACTTCCGCCTCGACTCTCTCAACGACTTTGACATCGTGCGCGTCAACGGCGTGCTGGACCGCGAGCAGGTCAACAAGTACAACCTGACGATCGTGGCGGTGGACAAGGGCTCGCCGCCGCGCACCGCCACGTCCTTCCTCATCATCCAAGTGAACGACGTCAACGACCATGAGCCGGTGTTCACCAAGAGCGAGTACTCGGCCGTGCTGAGCGAGCTGGCGCCGCCCGGGACGTACGTGGCGGGCATCACGGCCACGGACGAAGACACGGGCGTCAACGCGCAGCTCTACTACGCCATCGTGTCGGGCAACGACCAGCAGTGGTTCCACGTGGACGGCGCCTCGGGGCTCGTCACCACCAGGGCGGCCCTGGACAGGGAGATCCAGGGCACTGTCGAGCTCAACATCTCCGCCAGGGACGGCGGGCCCAACCCCAAGTGGGCCCTCACGCAGCTCAAGGTCACCATCTTGGACGAGAACGACGAGAGCCCGCGCTTCTCGCAGGACACCATCAGCGTGTCGCTGGCCGAGGGCACGCCGCCGAACACGCTGGTGGCCATGCTGACGGCCGCGGACCACGACCAGGGCACCAACGGCAGCGTCACCTACTCTCTGCAGGCCGACAGCAGCGCCATCACCAAGGCCTTCGCGCTGGACTCGGTCACCGGCCAGCTGACCACGAAGACGCTCCTAGACCGCGAGGCCACGCCCAGCTACGAGATCGTGGTGCTGGCCAAGGACCAGGGCTCACCCGTCAGGTCCTCCACCGCCACGGTACACCTCACCGTCCTGGACGTGAACGACAACTCACCCGTGTTCTACCCCGTGCAGTACTTCGCGCACGTGCAGGACGACACGCCTGTGGGGGCGTCGCTGGCGCGCGTGACGGCGCGCGACGCGGACGACGGCGACAACGCGGTGGTGCGGTACTCGATGGAGAGCGGCGGCGAGGGCCTGTTCGAGGTGGACGAGGCCAGCGGCGTGCTGTCGCTCCGCGCGCCGCTGCGGTCCGCACAGAAGTCGCTGTACCGGCTCAAGATATCCGCCAAGGACGCCGGGGACAGGCGCGCCGCCGAGGACTGCGTCGTCGAGGTGGTCAAGAGCCGCGCCCTGGAGAAGCTCCAGTTCGAGTCCCCGCGCGGCTACAACTTCACGGTGCTGGAGGACGACGCCAGGGACGAGGCCGCGCTGGGCCGCCACGTGGGCCAGGTGTCCGCGCGCGGCGAGTCCGTCAAGTACCGCGTCGTCGACGGCGACCCCGACAAGGTGTTCCACATGGACGAGCGCACCGGCGTGTTGTCGACGGCCAGCCGCGTGGACCGCGAGCAGGCCGCCGCCTACCGCCTCACCGTCACGGCGCGGTCGGGACTCGCCATCGGCCAGGTCGTCATCAACGTGACCGTGCAGGACGTCAACGACAACGAGCCCAGCTTCCCCAAGGACCGCGAGGACGTCCGCCTGGCAGAGAACGCCGCCGTGGGCCAGGAAGTCTTCCTGGCGCGCGCCCAGGACCGCGACGCTGCCGCCAACAGCCTGGTGCGCTACAGCCTGAGCGTGAACCCGGACGACCAGTTCCGCATCGTGGACACCACCGGCGTCGTGTACCTGAACCGCCCCATCCTCACGGACCCCGGCACTTCCATGCAGCTCGAGGTGACCGCCTCGGACTCCGGCCGGCCTGCGCTGTCGTGCCGGCTGGCCGTCGTGGTGACCGTGGAGGACGTCAACGACCACACGCCCGTGTTCGACCACACCTCCTACGAGACGTCGCTCCTCGAGTCCACGCCCGTCAACAGCCGCTTCTTCGCGCTGGCCGCGTCGGACCAGGACCTCGGCGCCAACGGCCTGGTGTCCTACAGCATCACGGAGGGCGACGGCGAGGGCAAGTTCGGCGTGTTCCCGGACGGCTTCCTGTACGTCCGCAGCGCGCTGGACCGCGAGGACCGCGACTACTACGCGCTCACGGTGACCGCCAGCGACCACGGCCAGCCGGCCCGGTCGTCGGTGGTGCCCGTGGTGATCCACGTGGTAGACGAGAACGACAACGCCCCCGAGTTCAACAACGCCACGTTCAACCTGGTGCTGCGCGAGAACGAGCCGCCAGACACGTTCGTCGGCAAGCTGAGCGCCACGGACCGCGACATGGGCCGCAACGCCGAGCTCACATTCTCCATCGCCAGCACCAACAACGACTTCGCCGTGGACCCCCGCAACGGCTTCATCAAGACCCTGCACGTGTTCGACCGCGAGGAGCTGCTCCGCACCACCGGCCAGAGCGTCGTCACCCTGGAGGCCTACGTGTCCGACAACGGCACGCCGCGGCTCCGCGACAAGGTCAAGGTGAACGTGTACATCGCGGACGTCAACGACAACCCACCGCGGTTCCTGCGCACGCCCTACCGCACGCAGATGTCCGAGGGCGCCAGCGTGTCCACGCAGGTGCTGCGGGTGTACACGTCGGACGCCGACGAGGGCCTCAACGGCGACGTCTTCTACTCCATCCTGTCCGGCGACCCGGAGGGCCGCTTCACCATCGACGAGGCCACGGGACAGATCACCCTGGCCCGGCCCCTGGACCGAGAGACCGTCTCCAAGTACACGCTCGTCGTGGTGGCCATGGACGCGGGGCTGGCCGTCAGACTCAACAGCACGACCACCGTGACCGTGGACGTCCTCGACGAGAACGACAACGCCCCCGAGTTCACGCAGAGCGAGTCACACATCAACGTGATTGAGACCACCGCCGTCAACACCAAGCTCATCCAGTTCCGCGGCTCCGACGCCGACCTGGGCGTCAACAGCGAAGTCACCTTCTCCATCACGGCCGGCAACCGCAGGGACACGTTCCACCTCAACGCCAAAACCGGCGAGCTGTCGCTGCACAAGCCCCTGGACTTCGAGGACCTCAACGTGTTCACGCTCAACATCACCGCGTCGGACGGCGGCAGCCCGCGCTTGTCCACCACCATCCCCTTCAAGGTGACGGTGGAAGACGCCAACGACAACCCGCCCGCCTTCCCCAACACGGCCATCGTCCGCCAGATCCGCGAGGGCATCCCCGTCAACACGCCCATCGTGACGGTGACGGCCGAGGACCCCGACAGCGGCGCCAACGGCAGGATCGTGTACTCGATCGCGGCGCAGGAGCCCGAGGGCCGCAGCAACCACTTCGGCATCAACGCGGCGACGGGCGTAGTGCACACGCTGCTGCCCATCGACCGCGAGGCCGTGGACACCTTCCGCCTGACCGTCGTGGCTTCGGACCAAGCAGAGCCGCCCAGCGCGCGCCTCAGCGCCGAGAAGCTGGTGACCGTCATCGTGGAGGACGTCAACGACAACGCGCCCGTCTTCACCTCCATGGCCGCCGTGGTGCTGCCCGCGCACGGCGACCTGGTGACCACCGTGGTGGCGCAGGACGCGGACTCCGGCAGCAACGGTCTCGTCACCTACGAGCTCGTCAGCGGCGACCGGGAGCTCTTCGCGCTGCAGCGCAGCTCCGGGGCGCTGAGCCTCCGCCGCGCGCCCTCGGCCGCCAACTACCGCTACCAGCTCGCCGTCAAGGCCACGGACGAGGCCGTGCAGGTGGACCGCCTCTCCACCGACGCGTACATCACCGTGCTGGCCGCGGGGGAGCCTGGGCCCGAGTTCGTCGGCGGCAGCGCGCGCGGTCAGGTCGCCGAGAACATGCCGGCGGGCACGTCGGTCGCCACGGTTCGCGCCGTGCTGCCCTCGCGGCCCGACGCCGTCCTCGAGCTCTACGTGACCAACGTGACGGCCTGCGGCTCCGGCGCGCAGGCCGACCGCCTGTTCGCCGTGGACCCCAAGCTGGGCGTCGTCTCGACCACGCAGCCCCTGGACCGCGAGGCGGGGCCGCCCTCCGCTCCCTGCTACAACGTCGAGGTCTTCGCCACCGTCGCCGGGGCCAAGCGCCCGCAGACTGCCATGACAACGGTGAGTGAGCAGCCCGACAGCACCGGTGGGCCAGGGGACCGGCGTCGAACCAAACGTGTGACCCCACCAATGTATTGCTCTCCAAACGAGAAATCCATTCATGGGGTCACACGTCCGGTTCGAGTCCTGATTAGCAACTCTGGAGCTCAAAATGCGTCTAGACTTTTGGCCGCCTCCGCCGGTCTTCTGGCCCACTGTGCGCCAGCCCGCGGCCTTGGACAGGTCGAACATGACGCAACGATCGGGGAGCAGGGCAACCGCGCTCTAATTACGCCCCGATGGTTACGTTAGAGAGAGTGTCAAACGTTCAACGAGTCTGGGCGTTACGTAAATTGCGCACCGAGGCCAGGTTGGGGGATGCGCCAAGGCGATAGGCCCGAGCCGCGCGGTGCTCTCCCCGAAGAGCGTCTCCTTGGCGACCGTCCTCACGCCGAGCCGGCTGAGAAAGTAGTCACGCGTGTAGTGGTGTGTGCAGTGTGCGTGCGTGCATGTGTGTGAGTGTGCCGGGAGCGGAGCAGAGCGCCTCCCGTAATGAAATGAAACATTCAACTTTTAAACGCACTTCACTTCCTCCCTCCACATTATCCTCATTATTGTGCTAAACACTCAGAACGGACCGAAGGGGGGAAGGGGAGGGGGGGGGGGGAAGGGGGAAGGCGTCACGCACCTCCCCCTTTTCTCCCTTGACCGCGTAGAGAGGATGCGCAGCCAAATTTTGGAAACGCTCAAAACTTCTCCAGTCTCTCGACAGTCCTCTCTGCACTGCAGTATCCCCGCAGCCCTGATCGCTCCGTTTCGGTTCGTTACTTGGCGCAGTCGAGCCTCCGCCGCAAAGCCTTCTGAATGGAGTCTGATTGCCCGATAAAAATCACATCCCACCTTTTTTTAAATCTTTTTATTATTGCGTTTCCACGAAATCGCGTCACCTGGCTTGGAGTAGGTGTCCGTGTGTGTGTCCGCGTGTCCGCGCGTGCTGTTGTTCTGTTGACCCTTTCCCCTCGGCTCGCGTTCCTTCTCTCTTTTTGGTCGAAGCAATCAGGCTTTCGCTTGTTTGGGTCCCCAAGTCGGCCGACCTTGTGATGCTGCGGTACCCCAAAGGAGGGGGGGGGGGGGGAGTGGGCGTTGTGGCCGTTCCGGCATCGGCGGGGTATCGAACCCCGCACCCCGTGGACGACGCAATCCGTTCCGCGCGTGGCCACTGCTCGACAAACGAACCGGAAGCGTTTTTAGAAATTTTGGAAGACAGGCAGTCACACTCGTGTTAGCGACATCACTGTCGCTCAGCAAACAAAACACAAAACATATCGCAAAGTAAAATTTTTCTAAGATCAAAAGTCACGTTTTCCCAAGATTTTTTTTGAAAACAGTGTAGCTTGCAAGGAGTTTTTTTTTGTTGGCAGGGCGCTTTGCATACAACAGCGTGTCGCTGCGGCACTGATAGATTTACACACGTCATACGCCACCATCCCACGGCACTCGCTGCCCTGCAGTGCCCCGCGCTGCCCCTCACTGCCCCTCACTGCCCCGCACACGGGGGCGACGCGGCGACGCGGGTTCAAACCCCATTATTATGAGGTCGTTCGCCGACCAGTGTACCAGCAGAGTTCGTGTCTTTTATTATTCTTTTCATTCGCCGGGCGTGGCCGGGTCGTTGCTCTGATCGGCGCTGCCGTGGCGCTGCCGTGGCGCGCCACACCGGGACCTGGCGCCCGGCGCACAGTTTCGAGCTTGCGAGTATTCGAGTCTCGAATTTTCGAGTTTTGAGATTAAAGATTCCTATTTTTTTAAAGTTTTGATTTTATTCGAGTTTAAATTTTATTCAAGTTTCAATTTTATTCGAGTTTCGATTCTATTCGAGTTTCGATTTTATTCGAGTTTTGATTTTATTCGAGTTTGTACTTTTGATCTTTTGAGTTTCGAGTTTTCGAACTTGACTGGAGTCCAGAGTGTCGCGCCGGGCCGTCTTGGCACGGCTGTCCCTGTGGCTTTGGCTGGCGTATTAGCATAACACCAGCAGGGCCTCGGTCGGCTTGGCCACGGGTTGGCCGCCTCCAGGACGTCCACAGGCCGTCATGGCCGCCACGGCCCGGCGACGCCAATTCATCAAAGTGCTGTCATCAAAAGAACATGGACGAAATAACTCATTCGTCTACCGGGACCTGGAATACACTATCACGCCTTCACTTAAAAATAATTAGCTCGGGTCCGGAAGTGTCCTGCCTCGCACAGTGGGCCAGAAGACCGGTGTAGGCGGCCAAAACTCTAGACGCGTTTCGAGCTCCACAGTCGCTCATTCGGCTCGAACCGAACGTGTGACCCCACCAATGGATAGCTCTCCGAACGAGCAAATCCATTTGTGGGGTCACACGTTAGATTCGAGTCCTGTTTCGCGACTCTGGAGCTCAAAACGCGTCTAGAATTTTGGCCACCTCCACCGGGCCATCAATTCGAGGTCGTGGAAGGCCATCCCTTGAAAGGGACCGCTGGAGGGCCGGGCCGTCATGCCAATCCCATTCCCATTCCAGGACTCGGCAGGGAAAGCGACCCTACGGCCCTACGGGTTTTTAAATTCCACAGCTTTTGAGACGTTATGGTATGATGTACCCCGCAGCGTTCACACGGTGTAGGGCCCTGTGTCTATGCGTGTGTGTGTGTGTGTGTGTGTGTGTGTGTTATTGTGTTAGTGTGTGTCGGTGTGTGTGTGCACTAGGGGAGCCGGCCACCCATCTATAATTTCTCCTCAACTTTACAGGAGATGAGAGGCGACTTGGCGTGTGTAGTACACAGGAGGTTCCGAAAGCAATTATGGATCCCGTCTGGTTCAAATTCAGGGCGTAGGTCTCGAAACGAGCCCAGCTCGGCTACAGTGTGTTACAGTGTGTTGCCGCCGCCGGTGCGGCCCGGAGGCCTGCACTGAACACCATGCGTGCCGTGTTGAGGCTGATGGACTTTTGCACACGCTGTCCGCCGCCCCCTTGCGTGGTTCCGCCGCTTTCTTCGCTCCGTCTCTCTCGCACTCGCGGGGCGTGCCGTGACGGTGCGAGAGAGAGAGGGCAGGACCGCGCCGCCCCGCGCATTTGAAATGCACTGCCTCTGCGTCATGTGCCCTACCCGCCCGCACGCCGCCTGCACGCCGCCCGCGGTCAGACACCGCCGAAAACGGTTCTCTTTTTACAGTGGGGGCTTTTGATTGGCAGCGCAGCAGCGCACGGTGCATACACGAGAGCCCCGGGGGCTCTTGGCAGTGGCGTGGCGTGGCGCGATGCAAAGTCTGAGCCTTCCGCTTCGCCCCGCTTCTCTTATCCACGTTGCTCGTATCGATGAAGTGGCGGCGATCGGCCGCGGCGTCCCGAAGCATTCCCGAAGCATTCCCGAAGCATTCCCGAAGCGGCCCGAAGCGTTGCCCGAAAGGCCCGAAAGGCGTGCAGGCGATGCGCGGCGTCGATAGGGCGTTCGGTCCCTGGACGGCCGCGGGCTGCGGCGCTGCGGCGCGGCCCCCTTATGTCAATAGCGCCTTGAACCAGGTACTACACTGCGAGCGGTACCCGGTACCCGCGAGCCTGGGCTTCGTGATGACGCGTTGCGTGCTGCCCGCGCGTCGGGGCGGGGCGGGGGCGCACCGACATGCTGCAGGTGCCGGCGGCCAAGCAGGTCGTGCACTCCGTGCCCGTGCTCTACCTGTAGGGCCTGCGGGTCGCGCGGAAGGGCGGGGCGGGGCGGGGCGGGGCCCACGGCGGGGGGCGTTCCCACAGGGCGCGGCAGCGGGCCGCCCTTGCCAAGAGGCGCGGCGGGGCGGAGTCATGCTGCTTCACTTGATTCGCCCCGCCCCGCCCCCCCCCCCCGCCCCGCCCCACCCCGCTCCGCCCGCGCCGCCCAACGACGGGCTCATTTGCATTAAGCGCTCCACAGGTTGGTTGAGCCACGCCGCGCCTAATCGTCGGCATGGACTGTCGCTCCGTCTCTCTCGCGCCCCGATGGGACGCCCCGCGAGTGCGAGAGAGACAGAGCGACGAAAGCACTGTCCGGTATCAGCCCTCGGGCGGCCCTAGGCAGGGCGCTCTAGATACTCTCAGTCGCTGTTTCGCTTGTCAAACCCCCACGGAATTTGTTGCCGTTATCAAATACTATCGGGATGCGGTTCGCCCCGCCCCGCCTCGCCACGCCCTGAGTGCCTGGGGCAACCGGTGGTCGGGTACGCCCCACGCCCCGGCAGCCTGGACCTCGGTCCGCGGCTGCGCGGCTGCGGCCCACGCGATGTTAGAGTCCCCGGTTGGTCGGCTCGCCCAAGGCTTGCCCCGGGCCAGCATGGCCGGCATGGCGTTAGGCCGGCGGGCTCCCGTAGGCTGGAAGGAGCTCACGCAGTGTGCACGCAGTGCTCACAACACCAGGATGCACAGTGGGCCAGAAGACCGGCGCAGGCAGCCAAAACTCTAGACGCGTTTTGAGCTGCAGAGTCGCTAAATGGCTCTCGAACCGAACGTGTGACCCCACCAATGGGTTCCTCGCGCGGGGAGCAATCCATTGGTGGGGTCACACGTTTGGTTCGAGTCCTGTTTAGCGACTCTGGAACTCAAAACGTGTCTAGATCTTTGGCCGCCTCCGCCGGCCTTCTGGCCCACTGTGAGGCTGACCCTTTGTTGCCAGGACGCCCTGGGGCAGTCTGGGGGCAGTCTGGGGGCAGCAGCGGCCGTCCAAACACGCACACGGTGCCGCATGGTTTCTGTAAAAGAGGAGGAAGATGTTTTTAAATGGAAGCAGGATGACTACAAAATTAGGTGCACGTCAAAAAAATCCAACTTTAATTTTTTTTAAATGCACGGAGCGTTACGGCCGACTAAATGCAAGACTAAATGTGTCCCGGTCGTCATCAGCACGACGGGTGCTTGCAGTGTGATGGAACCGGAAGTGTTTTGCACTTTTTGGCGCTGCTTCGCATTGCTTCGCATCGCCTCGTCTTGCCTCGCGTCGGATCGTCCCCTCGCTTCTTGCTTTACGCCGGGCTTTTCGTTTAGCAGAGGGGAATTAATTTAGGCAAAAAGCGCCGGGGATTGTAATTGACTGGCTCGATGCGGGTTGGAGGTGGTTGAGGCCTTGGGGGCAGTGCACTGGCAGCAGTTCAGTGCCGTACCGAATCTCGCTTCCCGAGCAAAAAATGGTATAAGCCGTTTTTAAAGTGTCGCGAGCCTTACTTCCAACTTGGCGAGAGGACGAGGCGAACACGGTGAATGGCGTTTGAAACCGGGACAACGGCGTGCAGACCCGGGTCGCTTCGTCGCTCTGTCTCGCTCGCACCCGCACGCCAGGCCGGCCAGGCCCCGACCAGGCCCCGCGAGTGTGACAGAGACAGAGGCCGCTGCACCGCTAAAAGGCAGTGCGTCCAGTTAGTTTTTCATCCTCGCCTTGTCGGAGGGATTGTGGGACTGCGGGGCCTGCTCGCCCCAGAGCACAGTGGGCCAGACGACCGGTGGTGGTGGCCGAAATTCTAAATGCGTTTTGAGCTGCAGAGTCGCTAAATAGGACTCGAACCGAACGTGTGACCCCACCAATGAATTACTCTCCGAACGAGGACTCTATTGGTGGGGTCACACGTTCGGCTCGAGGCCCATTCAGGGACTCTGTAGCTCAAAACCTCAAAACGCGTTTAGAGTTTTGGCCGCCAGCACCGGTCGTCTGGCCCACTGTGGGTCGGGCCTGCAAGGGCCTGCACGAGAAACGGCCCAACTGGTTCTGTCGCACTGCGTCTCCGCGTCCCTGGAGGCTGAGTGGGAGGTCTCTCTCTCGCTCTCACGGGGCGTACCGGAGGGCCCACAAGGCCCGTAAGGGCGCGAGAGAGACAGGCCTTTCGGAATCAGCCCGCTGTCCCTGCCTCGGCCTCAAACTGCGAACAGCAGTGCTCCAGGCTTGGCCCCGCTTCGCCAGTCCTCCAGGTCCCCGCTGCTACTCTGCCGCCGCCCCGCCCCGCCCCGCCCCGCCCCCCCGCCCCGCCCCGCCCCGCCCCGCCCCGCCCCGCCCCGCCACGCCCCGCCCAGCTCCGCACGCAACGAGAAAGGCGCCACGCGTGAGCCAAATTCCAGCAGGGAGGTTTTCCCGCTCTGTAAGTGCGCACAAGCTCGACCGAGGGCTGACCCACTGTACAATTTTGTCTGCAATGCATGTGGGAAGGAAATGTATGAGATTCCTGCTGTACTTGCCCACGTTTTGCCTGAGGCGCATTTGCCGTTCGAATGTCGAATGCCCCCCTAATTTGTGCAGTGAATGTCTGGCGTTGTTCCCTCCACCCGTCGACCACCCAAAGTCAAATCAACAAACAATCAACCGTTTTCTGAGAGGTGTTTCAGAAATTTCGGTTGCGTTATTACTGAACAGGTTGAACTGCCCAGACTTTCCTGACGGCGACGTCCTCCGCGAAAGCGACCACTCGTTCCCCAAGGGAGTGCCCTGAATTTCGCAGGTGGTACTGCGCTCGCGTCGTATGAGAAACTGCTGCGTCGGTGGACTCGCCGCTGCGACTCGGTCGCTATCGCGTCTCCGTCCCTCTCTCGCGCTGCCGCGCGTTCAAGTCTCCCCGTGAGTGAATGGTCGGTCGGTCGGTCAACGTGCTTTCGTCGCCCTGTCTCTCTCGCACTCGTGGGGCTTCCCCGTGCGGGCGCGAGGGAGACGGAAACGCCGCACAGTGGGCCAGAAGACCGGTGGAGGCGTCCAAAATTCTATACGCGTTTTGAGCTCCAGCCAGAGTTGTTTTAAATGGGACTCGAACCGAACGTGTGACCCCACCAATGGATTGCTATCCGGACGA